TTGGGTACATATTTCACACGTTACCTTACTGACCGTTCACTCAGTACAGGTCAGTGTTGGGTACATATTTCACACGTTACCTTACTGACCGTTCACTCAGTACAGGTAAGTGTTGGGTACATATATCACACACTACTGTATTGAATGCAGGTTATTAATCGTAAGTGCTTGTTCTGTGATGTCAAAATAATGCAAGAACGTTTGTTTTCATGGATTCTAACCTGAAGCATGATTCATGGTGACATTAGGCCATATCAATACAATGAGAGCAAACACAATACCATCACACACGTCAAAAAATTCAAATGAGCACATCTCTCTTCTGTGACAGCTTACACACTGATGCAAAACTGTTTGGTTGCAATGATCCATCAGCTGTTTAAATGGAGCAAATGTTATTTTTTTTTGCATGCTGCATGATATTGAACTTCTGACAAGTTGATTATTTTTAAACCTAAAGCAAAAAGGCTGCTTCTGTATCACACTATTAAATGTATCTTAATTTTCCAGTTTATAATATAATCTTACTACTGTGATTAATACACCTTTTAATTAAAAAATATATATAGCTTACATGGCTATTAAATGTGTTTTTAACTTGAACTGCTTCATTAAATGGATGATGTACATGAAACATTGGGAACGCTTTTAATTAAATGAGAAGCTGTGAAAAGAAGATAAAATACCAAAGATGTGCAGTTTAATAGGGAGCAAATGTTGTCTTGTTATGTAACATTGCAGCCCAGACAGAAGTTGCTATTTCATATGCTGTCGAGGTGATCAGGTATTCGAGGTTGTCAGTGCTGCTTGATTTCATCACCTATGTAGCACTAAATGGTTTATTTTTTTGTTTGTGCATTCATTATTATTATTATTATTTTATTATTAGCAGCGTCTGAGGTGATTCAGTCCAGGGGGCGTGTGCAAGGGCGGGGCCACAGGGGCACAAGTCCCAGCTGAAAGCTGATTGGCCCCCAGAGTGCCTCCTCCTGCTGTCACTCGTGAATTCAAAACATATCATTGGCTAATGATAAAGTTAGCCCCTCCTTATGAATTATGGCCCCTCTTATGTCCCCACCTAAACGGTAAATTCTGCCGTGGTGGATGCCTTTCTGCGATCGGAGCCATCAGATTCATTTTTTGAATCTGCCTGGCAATTAACACATTTAATGTAGAAACTGCTCAGTCTGACTGCCTTTGCAATACTGGAGATGCTTACAGTAGTAATACAAAATAACCGTCCTCGCGATTACAAAGTTGGTATCACATTCATCCCAAGCTTACATTGTCACCTTCTACTGCCTCTTCAGTGAGATTACCAAGGTTTAATGTTAGTCTCAGGTAGCTGTTTATGCGGTTGCCCGCCATCTGGCTGCTATCCCCCCCCCCCATTTCCCCTCCTCCACCCAGTTGCACAAAGGCATTAATAACTGCGGCAAAACACACTGTAGGAAGGACGATCACCCGAATTTACCTTCTGAAAAGTGATGGGAATCTTTAAAGCTGTCGGTCTGATTTGAAGCACCTGATTGGAGGAGGGGTGGTCCTTTAGGCGTGACCCCTGACCCCTGCGCTAACGGACCCCCTCAGCCAAACAAGCCCGTCCCTGCATTTATTTCATTAGCTGACTTTAGGTCCAGGTGTCCTCAGACTTAAATAAATTAGATGAATTATGGAAGTGAAGCAGCTGGCTCACATCTGTCTTTTATAATGATATTATTTACATAATATAAATTATTAGATGAGGTTTTTCGTCCGTGGTTCGTCTAGAGTACATTTTCCAGGTCGGTAGCTTTTAATGGTGAGACTCCATGCACTTCTCCTGCTTTGTGTCCTCAGCGGCGTCGCCTAGAAGGGAATCATGGTTTTTCCCAAGTCGTAATTGGACCCTCTGCTTTCCTGTGTCCATTTATTCATCATGGCTCCCAGTTGGACTGGGCCGTCCGGGACACGTTTGTGTAGCAGCCGCTCCTGGGCCCAGGCTGGGAAGACGGCTCTGTATGCGCGGCGGGTCCCATGGTGCGCCCCCCCCCGCTGGCAGCCTGCAGCTTGTCATGGGCGCTTAAGAGGCACTGCTGTAGAGCGGCGGGGAGTCGGTACACTGTGCCCAGCTACTACAGGGGAGGGATGTCTGTCAGGAGGGGCTGAACAGAATGGGCCCTGAGCGGGACGGGCTGATGTCACATCGCGCGGTCACAGGCTGCAGCGCTCGCGCGTCGGAGGTCGCTGAGCCTTGTGGCTGAGCTATGCTGCTGATCCGTGTCGCTGAGCAATGCCGCTGAGCAGTGTCCCTGAGCAGTGCCACTGAGCCATGTCGCTGATCCATGTTGCTGAGTAATGCCGCTGAGCAGTGTCCCTGAGCAGTGCCGCTGAGCCATGTCGCTGAGCAATGCCGCTGAGCAGTGTCCCTGAGCAGTGCCGCTGAGCCATGTCGCTGATCCATGTTGCTGAGCATTGCTGCTGAGCAGTGTCCCTGAGCAGTGCCGCTGAGCCTTGTCGCTGATCCATGTTGCTGAGCAATGCCGCTGAGCAGTGCTGCTGATCCATGTTGCTGAGCAATGCCACTGAGCAGTGTCCCTGAGCAGTGTCGCTGAGCCATGTCGCTGATCCATGTTGCTGAGCAATGCCGCTGAGCAGTGTCCCTGAGCAGTGTCCCTGAGCCATGTCGCTGATCCATGTTGCTGAGCAATGCCGCTGAGCAGTGTCCCTGAGCAGTGCTGCTGAGCCATGTTGCTGAGCAATGCCGCTGAGCAGTGTCCCTGAGCAGTNCTGAGCAATGCCGCTGAGCAGTGTCCCTGAGCAGTGCTGCTGAGCCATGTTGCTGAGCAATGCCGCTGAGCAGTGTCCCTGAGCAGTGCTGCTGATCCATGTCGCTGAGCCATGTTGCTGAGCAGTGCTGCTGAGCCATGTTGCTGAGCAATGCCGCTGAGCAGTGTCCCTGAGCCATGTCGCAGGCTCCTGGCATGTTATTTTTACACATGTAGTAACTGCATCACTTCCAGTGTACTGGACAAAACGGTGTGTGTGTGTGTGTGTGGGTGTGTTGTGAGAGTGTATGTGTTCACGTTGGCGCTCTGCCTGTGATTGGAAGGTCACTGGTTAAAATTGGCAGAATGATGTCACTTTTGGGCCCCTGAGCAAATCCCTTATCTCCCAACTGCTCAAGAAGTTCTCCTGCTGTCTCAAGAAGTATGTTTTTTTTTTTTAGTTTCTTGATAAAAGCACGGGCTGTAGTAATGTCATTCTGTTGTGCCCTCGTAGATTCCGCATGCGGCAGGTGAATATCGTGGGCTCCAGCCCCGCCAGCCAGCCCTCCCGCATCATCCAGACCCTGCAGGCCCCCCCAGACGTGGCCCCCAGCAGCGTGACGGTGCGGACGGCCAGCGAGACCAGCCTGTGGCTGCGGTGGGTGGTAAGGAGGCTGGCGTCGCCTGGGCAACCCCGTCTGGTTTCTGGGAGGAAGGGCCCCAGGGTGTGGGATGTGGGGCGTACCAGCGGTTGTCGCTTCTGACGCTTTTTTTAAGGGACTTGTTTGTCACGCTGGTGCGTCTTTCCCGCCTGCACCATGCAGGGAGCATGTTGAGACCTGCGCACTGCTTTCTGAACAAAATAAGCATGACAAAGAGTATTTTCACTTCAGGAGGCACAAAGGAAAGTCGTTATCTCTGTGCATAGACAGTTTCCATCGCTTGCTTCTGCTGTCCACGCGGTAACGAAGTGCTTCTCCGATAGCCCGCTCCGTCCGCTTCTGCTCAGCTGGATTCTGCTGAATCATTCAGACTGTCCTTTGATATCATTGTCACTTTAGACGACGCATTTATGCGAGCAGTCCACCATCTATCCATAATAAACGAAAACCTGTCCTCATTATCATTCTGGGGGTGGTGTTTAGTGCAGCAGTTTCGGGGTCTGTGCCCGTGTTCGGAAGGTCATGGGTTCAAATCCCTGGCTGATGTAGTAATTATATTACTGTTGAGCCATTGAGGAAAGCCTTTAAGTCCAGCCGCTCCAGGCTGACTCTGCTCCCTGACCCCCAGCTCTCCTCATATGTATGTCGCTTTGGACAAAAGCACCTGTTAAATACATAAATGTAGCTTGCAGTCCTGCGATGATGCATGCCTTCCCGTGAATGTTAGGCCTTTTAATGTTACCGTTGATTTCCACCTGAAATAATGACGGGTGATGTGCAGCTTGTCAATCCTGAAATTGAATTCCTCCACTTCATGATGTTTACTGATGAATTCTAAAGAACGAATCCTGGCTGTGCGCTGATACATCTTCTAGTCTGACATCTTTCTTACAGTCACAGCTGCTCCTGTATTTTTGAGCTGATGGCAGAATTTTTCAATTAAATTTTGACAGCTGTGAGACGATGAACAAATAAATTTGTTGCGTGCGTGTGCTGCTGAAGGATAACTTTATATGATGTGTCGAAAAAAAGTGCAAAATAATTCTGAGGTATTGCTTCAGGCTCTGTTTTCTAGAATTCGGTTGTGCCTTACAGTTTCTGTATTAAAAGTTATCTGACTGTTAATTCGTGTGCCTGTCACCCCCCCTGCTGCCCCACCAGCCTTTACCTGATTCAGAGTACAATGGTAACCCGGAGACGGTGGGGTACCGTGTGAAACTGTGGCGAGTCGACCAGCAGGGGGAGACGCGGAGCCAGGTGGTTAATGACCGCTTGGAGAGGGAGCTCACCCTGGAGGGCCTGGAGGAATGGGCCGAGTACTGGCTGCAGATCCAGGCCTTCAACTCTATCGGCCCCGGGCCCTGGAGCGAGCAAGTCAAGGGCCGAACGCGGGAGTCAGGTAAGTGTGGCTCCGGCAACATCAGGGACGTTAAGATAAGATCTGACTGTTAAGATCTGGGATCATCTTGCTGGGATTCAAACCCGGGATCTTATGTTTATTAGACAGGCGCATTAACCAACTACAGCACAGTGCCACCTCCCAGGGTCACGTGTCCATGGTGCCATTTAAAGCAACCTGTGTACCATATGGCTGTGAAATGGGTTGTTTTGAAAGAGAGCTAAGCAGAGTCATCCATGCTATCTCTCCTACCTCCCCTTAAATTGAATGAAAGAACCTTTTTGCATGAGTGATGTGGGGCTTCTGTAATAGGAATAAGCTTTAAAAGCCTCACTGGTTGTCATCTAAAATTCACTTATTAATAAGTGCTGCAGGTACGCATATGCATACCCTGGCTGTGGTAGTTTGACATTATCAGTAGCTTTTATTTTATGTAAGTTATTACAGTGCCTTGTTTGTATATAGTACCGTTATTTCAATATGCAGTTCATAAGTATACATGGTGATTTATGCCTTTACTCTAGAAGTGGAAAACTGGACTCCATCACTTACATTATACAATTAATCATAAAGGATGCACTAAACGTTTCATTTTAGTGGTCAATTGAAATGTGTGCGTGAGTATCCATTTTCATGTGCTTACATGTCCACACGTATAATTCTGTTTTACACATATACAGTATATATTGACCTTAGAAGTAGCTGCGCTGTGACATTTCTTCTAGGGAAGATGTCAACGCACCCTTGCCAGCTTGTTATTGGGGGGAGGAGTCCATGGTTAGAGTAAACATGCATTTGCTTGGAAACCACATGAAAGTTTGATGGTATGCTTTAAATAGCTGTCCAGATTAAACTTTCCATTCTCCTGAAAATGTCTCGTTGCATGCGAGGATCCTAATGGTGAAGCAGGGTGGGATTCAGCCTGTGCTCTGCAAAGGGCTCTTTAATAGTCCTCCAAGAAGAGATGGTCTAAGCCCTTTTCCTGGAGACGTTTCTGTGCTCTTCACTAATGAAAGACCATCGACTGTTTTCCAGGCTTTAGCTGTACTTTTCAAAGGGCACCCAAGCTGGATATTTTATGTCTGACTGCTCAACCTGTTTATTTTAGGGTTCTGAATAAATGCGTGCCATTAAGTTTAAAAATATTACCTTAATTTGCAGTTGGCGAGTGAAAAATCTCCCGCAGCCGCTGGCGCTGCTTATTATTCGGTATAAATGCATTTCTTTAGCGAGGAATCCCAAAGTCATTTTCATCATTTCTCGTGCGGTCACAGCCGGCTGGTGATCGTTCACCACCCTGCCCAGCAGGCCTTCGCTCTTATTTCTCCCGTCCGCCATTTCCCAGCGGTCTGGCCTGCTCCGTAGCCACCAGCGGACACCAGACGCACGGAAGCGACACTTTCCGCACTTAAGCAAATCTACCTTTAATGGGCCATTGAAAGCATGCGGGTCGTTCGTCTGAAATCAGGCAGCGAGGCCTGTTTGATTGCCAGGTGATTCGCTAATGTGGATGGCATTTGTCTGGGATGGCGACGTAATGCAGTAATCATATGCAATCCCGGGTGCGTGATTTCACTGTGGGGGGGCTCTGATGAATCCGGGTGGCGTTCGAGTATTTTTCTCCATCTGAGAGTTTTACTAGAAATGCGTCAGTCTGTGGCACTGTGAGGAAGAGAACACCCCTCCCCCAAGCCCCCACCCTCACTGATATTTTTTACTGCGTATTGACATTTCCTCGATAGACTCATTATGATTAAAGTCCATTCAGTTAATTAGCAGCGAGTTGTCACCGGCTCGGCCTGAGGTGATGGTGACTCCGGTGTTTCGGCAGTGCCGTCCGGCGCCCCTGACAACGTGACGGCAGAGGCCATGAGCTCCACGAGGATCCTGGTCAACTGGGGGCCAGTTCCAGACAAGGAGAAGAACGGATACGTACTGGGGTACAAGGTACAGCTCTGTTTATGGTGAAAATGATTAAAAACTGGCTGAGGGTTTTACCTTTTATTTTGGAGGGGAAATCAGGAAGTCACGTTAGCTGTAACTGACCAATCCCATTCCCATAAGCTTCATAAACGTACCGTATTGGCTCATCAACTAAATAATCGTCAACGTGAAAGAGAAAAATAAAAATAGAAATGCCAAATAAATAAAATATACATGAAACTCTAGTCCACCTTTTCTTCCCCCCTGAACCAGAATGAGTTAAAGTTTCACAGACATGAATGTAGCACGTATGATGTAACATCATGCAAGGCCAAGTACTGATGCTTCATTCCTCTACAAGAAAAGGGTTTATAAATAGACCCCAGTCTTTAAATACACTAAAGATCTGTGCTAAGCATATTTGTGGAAAGTAGTTCTCAGCCGCATATATCAAAAATAAAGGGTATCTGTAGAGCGTAAACTCTTTTAAACAGACTGCCTCTTCTGAACTACTGGGAACTCGCCCTACTACACTTGCTAGTTTTGCTTGGGCTATTTGTAGGGCTAATTGCGAGCTCTGGGGTCTCGTGTCGTGCCAGACTGGAATGCTGTAACATCGCCTTTGTTGGCAAACCCTGAAACGCAGTTCTTACTGCTCTTTTGTAACATACTGCCTTTGACTTTTAGCCTTCTGGGCTGCAGTTTCAGCTGATGAAGTTGCAGCTCACGGAGTTTGGATGCGACGTGCAATTTCTCTTTATGGATGCTGTGCTTTAACGTTTCATTGTAATCCGGGCTTTTTCATGCCGCACAAGTTCTGAGTTATACCGCACAACACGGCAGATATAAATATTTAATAATGATGCGACCTTTCTGTCACTCAAATTAGATATTAGCAGATCCCATCTGTAGAAGATACTGTAGGAGATCTGAAACATTCGATTAGCTGGAGCTTAGCTTGAGGGTGATTGCTGATGTCTGAGGGCTATTTTTAGTAGTTTTTAGATGCCCCTTAATGTAAAGACTTATGCCACAAACAGAGCACTTGTAGTTTTTGGGCTCAAAATTCTGAGGCGGGTAGGAATTGGTTTAGTGGTAGCAAGCAAGAGATGTTTAATTTATCGACTCGCTCCAGTCATGTTGTTGAAACAGAACCCCGGGACGTCTGCATCATTTGATGTTTTATGTTTTCTCGTTGACGTTTAATATGCATTTCAGCGCCGTCAGCAAAAAAAACTGAAAAAAGGGAGCGATGTGCAATCTCTGTCAGCCTAGCACAGAATTATGCTGTTGTATTTTTCCTCTAACGTATTGATAACTTTGTTTATTGAGCACATAAATATCACTGCCAATCACGTAGGTGCGGTGCTGGGTCGCAGAAAAGGCTGCAGACGTTGCATGAGCTTCAGAGGGTCTCGTCTGGAGGGAAGACATAGTTACAGTCTCCTCAGCTGGCATTTAGAGATGCTCCCAGTCTAAATCACCATGACGTGTCCCGTCCCTAATCCTAAGCTCCTGTATATCACACCAGGCATCATATCCAGCCGGGTGTGCGATTAATCGCTGAGCGATTGGCTGCTATTAAAGGCGCTAAATAGCTAGGCCTTGAGCATTGTCAGCCAGGTCCTGTCACGGTTCAGTTGGCCGGTTAAATGTCAATCAGATTGGCTCCTCTTGTTAATTGTGTGTGTCTGTGTGTGTGTTTCTGTCTGTCTGTGTGTCCCCTTAGGTTCTGTACAAGGAGCAGGACTCGGGCGTGGAGCCGCAGGTTCTCGTGGTGAAGGGGAACCTGACACGCTCTGCTCTGCTCAGGAACCTGCGCAAGTTTGTCCTCTACGAGATCCAGGTGCTGGCCTTCACCCGCATTGGGGATGGCAAGCCCAGCAGCCCCCCGGTGCTGGAGAGGTCCAAAGATGATGGTGAGGAACCTCCCTCTCCTTAGCCTGCCATTTCTCTCTGACTGGGTCCCTAACAGCGTCTGCTCCCTGGAGAATCAGGCTAGGCTGAAGCTGTCCTTATGTGAGGTCCTTCATCACCTAATCCAAATGTGCTTTTTTGGGACCGAGAGGGTAGCTAACTCATTCCAGCCGACCCACATTATTTTTGACAGTATATTTCCGTTTTCCCTTCCCTGGCATCGATTTCCGTGAGCCGAGAGCAGGTCGGCATTGGGTGAAGGACATTTCTCAATCGACACTTCCATCATCCTGCAGTCATTCTATGCGTAATCTTTGGTCTTGTCTCATGGATTCATTTAAGTAGTTTCTAAATTCTGGAAATTCTCTTCTTTAAAAAAACCTCAGATTCTGAATGAATTACCGACAAACAAAAAAGTGTCCGGGATCTGATCAGTTCACAAGTTTAAGGTGGAGGTAGTGTTTTGATCCACTGCATAGCCTCACTGACGGGTGCTTTTAAGGGTGGGAGGGGGGGCAGGGGGGTCTCCTGAAATCCTGCCCCAGCGCTGTGATTAAACATCTCAACTCGGGTGTGGGAGGAGGATGTGGGTGGTGGGCCGCGTTTTACCCTATAGCCCATGGGGGGGGGGGGGCGGCTGCTGCTAGCCCAGCTGCAAGGGGGGGGACCCAGTGGAAGCTGGGGGGATGATCCACAGCAGGAGGTAGGCCTAACAAGGGGGCGGGGAGGGGGGAATGTTTATGACAGCCTACAGGGATTTTATGGTTCTGCTGCTGTAACGAGATCCCACTGTAGTGAGGAGATTTGTGCACCCTCGTGAAGTATTCAGGCTGTTTCCACTTTGCCCATTTTCCCAGAGATATTCAGATGGTGTGCAGCACGTCTGATAGTCATAGATCAGTCTTTTTATTTTCTGTTGTTCTGCAAAGGCCATTTATTAGCATGGCCACCTGCACGGACACGCTGCAGCTCACTCTACCCGGAAAGACCTTGTCTGGTTTTGGCCTCACATTGTGGAAGTACAGCAAAGACCTTTATCATTATGGATTCATGACTAAGCAGAAAACGAAGTATCGTCTTTGAGAGAAAACATACATTCTGCAGTCGGAGCACCATCTGAGATGATCAGAAATATAATTGCACTCTAATACCCTTAGTGCCATTTCAATACCGCTATAAATATATTGGAAGACTTTTAAATTTGTTTCTGGTTTTGGAATGGCTTCTGTTACCTGTTCTAATGCATTAAAATGTTTGCAGGGCCAATGTTTGTTTTAGAAATTAAGGTGAAGCTTAGCTCTGTTGTGCTTGAAGAGGATTATATTTCTATCGATCTGTTTGTGGAAAAATGTCACCTCAGTATGGAATACTCTGAACATTACATGTTACTGCAGAGTATTCATATATATGTATAGAGCACAAGCCAGGATTCCCTCCTTTATGAGACGCCAGTTATGTATATATGACACAATAAAAGCTGTAGATTATTGTACAGAGATTATTGTGCAGAGAAGAACAGCATAATACAAACATAATATATACATTGTACATTTCCACTGATCCCCTATGTAAAGTGTGGTGATAGATCATGAGACGCTAGAGTTGAGCCCTTATTAAGCATTGCACAGAACTGCTCATATGGGGTGCTGGACACTTGGGCCCATTTTATTCAATCCCCAGTAGTGCTGTTTACCTAAAGTTTCCATTCCTCTTCCTGGTCAGATGTTAGTGATGTTGAAATTTCTCTGGTTATCTGTGCCTTTTGGGATGAGGAGGTTATTGGTTCAAAACCCACGTCCAGCAGAGTGACATAACTATTGGGCCCCTAACGTTAACCCCAATTGCTCTTTGATCCTCCCTTGTATGTCACTTTGAACAAAAGCCACTCGAGAAATAAAATATGTGTTGCAGATGTTGCACCGGAAGGGTAAGTAAGATTATGGTGAGAAGTGCGCCCCGTGTCGTCGTGGAAACGGCAGACTTTATTTCGCATGCTCACTGTGGCCCGCGGGACAGTCTGTTTCTCCCAGGATCTTCACCCACTAGGAGATTTATCACCACAGCGCCACCTGGGGCCCGCTTTCCCTCAGTGGGCACATGTGATTTGTGGCTGCTGACCGTGGGCAGACAGGGACACGCTGCATTTGTTTGTGCCCAAATACGTTTAATGAAACGCCGGTACAACATGGCCGGTGTAATTACAGAAGTTAATTGCATTCTGAAGACCATATTAAAAATGGCAATAAGTGAGTAGTGACCTTCTCTCCATTTTGGTGAAGAATGCATGGCCGTTGGACCGGACCTCACACCCAGTGCGTATGTGTGAAGGGGAACAGTTCTCGTCTTTAACTGAGCCATTCATCGGCATCAGAAAAATGCTCAATGATCCGGGGACCTGCAGTTTCCCAGCCGCAAGGTTTATGTGAATCTTTTTGTTTGTTTTTGATGAAGTTAAAATGTAACTCAAATCTGACGCTGGGGTCGGGAGATGCGGATCTGTGGAGAGCCTCTCTGCCGGCCCCCCCGCTCCGCAATGGCTTAGCGGGAAGATAAATTAAAAACCGCGAGGCGGGGAGTCGCTCAGGTGCCAGACGAGGCCTCCTTTAATTAAACCGACGCCGTCGGTTCTGTCTGTCTGGGCTTCCACCTTTCAGGCCCTGTCTCTCCCATCCAAGGAGCGGTAGAAGATTCTGGATGTGGGAAGAGAGCAGTGCATAAACAGACACCTTGCTGGAGAACGTGTGTGAGATTTTATAATAACTCTCCATGAAAAGTTTTCTAGTATTATAGTAATAATAGCAACCGGGAGCTGCCGACTGAAAAGTTCTGATTTAAAATAAAGGGATCTCTCAGGTGCCCCGTGTGTCTGTCTGTCTGCACGCGTCCTTAGCTGTGACGGGCCTGACAGCCCATCGCAGAGCATCCTGCAAGGAAGATAGATAAACAAATCAAGTGATGTTGATTTTGTTGCCCTGTCGGTTGCCGGTGAAGAGGTGAAGGAGGCTTAAAGCCAGAGAGATAAAAACAGCCAGCGTGCGCAAGTGGCCATTACTGAAAGGTGACCCTCGCCGGTAATTGATAGGATAACGGGACAAAGCGGAGAAGGTGTGGAGCTTCCCATCCCTCTGGAAACATGGGGAGATGTGCTCCTGCACAGCTGCTGGTTTACATATAAATTGTAACATGGCTCACAGAAGGCCGGAGTGCTTTTGTTTTTTTTTTGTTTTTTTTTCCTGTAAAGGAGAGGACAAAGTCACTGCCTTGCTGGCAGGTTTTTGCGGGTCGCTGGGCCTTTCACCACATGCAGTGGTCTCGCTCCCTGGTAAGACTGGGAATGTCGTAGGCTGGGGGGGCACCCAAAATGAGAGCCCCCCTCGCCATAGCCTCACGCTCCTATTTTTATCCATTGTGGCAGATTCTAACCCCCCCCCCCGGGAAGGACGCTGTTTTACTCACATCTATTCCAGTGTCACACGGTCACCACAGTGAGTCGGCCCCAAAGTGCTCGCAGGTCTGGGCGCTCTGGGGTGAAACAGGATGTGTGGTCACCGTGGCGATGTTAGACAGATACCCCATGGTGACAGCTCAGCGGGGGGGGGTGGGGGTTGCAGGAGTGAACTGGCTGACAGCAAAGATCAGAGACAGTGGAGTCGCGTCCTTTTTGGCTCTGTCCTCCCCCCTCCCCCCCCACAACCGCTGCTCTTTGTGTTGCCAGAGTAGGAATGTGGCTACATATCAGGTCTACATATCAGGGGTATGACGATTGCAGGCTGGGCATGGAGATACGTGGAGGGTCAGGCTGCTGTCTGAGGGCCCCAGTGTGTTTGCAGCGTGACTCCATGTGAGACCTGCATGCATCGGGTGTGAGGATCTCTGCCACAAGGCTGACGGCAGCCATGAAAAGCTGCATCTCTCCTGAAAACTCCTGCCTCGACTGCTTCAAGCCAGCCGACGCTCAAGCCTTTATTGTCAGACTGCAAGGGAAGCTCCACTTTGACTAAGAGCTGAGGACCGGGCTGTTTATCTCCCGTCATGCCAGTGGGATTGATGGGCCGTCGTGGCCCCGGTCAGGACCGGGTCAGATCGGGATGCTCCGCAGTACAGCAGGTGTCAGTCACCGACCCGCGGAAAGAAGCAGAGCTGCTTAACTCCCAGAGTTTGTGACCTGTCCATCCCCAAAGTCAACAAAACAGAGAGAGCCCCCTGATGCTCGTGTTATTTGTAAGTGCCCCACGTCACCCCCGGGGAGCGCTCTGCCCGGAGCCGGCGATCAATGTAACTCATCTTTGCAAGAGCCTCAGCGAGGAATTGGTAGGGAGGGTCTGATGGGCGGCGACCCCGTGCTCCTCCGGGGGGGCCTCCTGTCAGGGCCGCTCTGAAATGATGGAGGCGTCATTGGCCTGTGGGGTTAGAACCCCTTTTGTGGGTTATGAGCCTATGTTGAGCCGTGTGGGATTCGTCATCTTATCTCTGTAATGGTTCCCTAATGGGCATGTCTACAGACTTAAGCCTGGCTGGTTGCGAACACCATACCGTGACACTGTGAAATCGCTCTTTGACGCGGGGCAGGCAGTGGGTAGGTAGTGTATTCCTGCCTCAACACGCTCTCCTGGCTTTGTCCCCCCCCCCAGTTCCCGGCCCTCCCGTGAGGCTGGTCTTCCCAGAAGTGCGGCTGACGTCCGTGAGGGTGGTGTGGCAGCCTCCGACCGAGCCCAACGGCATCATCCTCGGTGAGTCCCCCCACCCCGACCCCTGTGACCCTGTCTCTGACCTGTGCTGACCTTTAGGCTGCCAGGAAATGAAAACCGCGAGAAGTGACATCTCAGTCAGTTCAGTTGTCAAATACAAGGCATTGCATAAAGCGAGTCTGAATGGCAAAAAAATTAAACTTCCAACACTTTCCCCTTTTTTTAATGGTAAACAGCAATATGAAGGTGTCTAACCTGCTTCTGAAGCTAACGAGATTACAGCCCCCAGGTGAGCGGTAGAAAGCGTTGTTTTGACGCGTCCTTGATGGGAAAGATAAAACTCGCCTCTCCCGCCGTGTAAAGCCCATATTACGGTCTCACGTCTGTCAACAAAGGCAAGATGTGCCGGCTGCTGCGCTATTCCAACATTTTTCCGGCTGATCTTGTTATAGATGCTTGATATTAAATGGTGAAAAGACTTTAATAGGTTGAACTCTTATTGAGGGCACCCATGATAATTACTCTTATGCAGAAATAGTTTGGACAGTCGTCAATGTTTATGTTCTGTCTTCAATTAACTGAGACGATAGGATTGTTTGTAGAGATATCTAGGGGAGGGTGTTCTGTCATTCCACACTTGAGATTAATTGCACATTCAGTGGTGGGGGGGGGGGAGCTTAACTGCAAACTGATGTCTGGAACCCTCTATCGAATGGAGTCACTGGGGACGGGCTGGTGGCTAAACCTGCTGCTGAAGAATGTTCTAGGGCAGCGGTACATATAAATCCTGGATCAGATAATATTTTTTCCAGCACATTAGAAGCCATGAGGGCAGGGAATATGTTTTTTATTTGGATTTCGGGCTTTAGTGTTAAGTGAAGCAGGTACTGTAACACAGATGGCTATTGATATGCTTGCTGACATTCACTAAACATTTAAACTTGCATCCAAGAATCCTGCACTTGTGTGGTCTGTCGTAGGATGTGAGTGAAACTCAATAATTCACATAATAAAAACACGACTGGAGGTTTACCGGTGCAACCATTTTCATATCCAGTTACGGTGACATCATTTGTTTTAAAAAACATATGTACTTTTATTTCTAAACTCCAGCCCGTGAGCTTCTTTGGTTTTCAGCTATGCGGTGTGACTTCAGGCAAGCACAGCATGTCTCGCTGTATCCATAACATACCTGTGGCTTTCAGGATCCTCTCCCAGCACGGCAAACAGGTGCACTGCCTCATGTGGTAGGGCTGAGGAAGAGCCTTAACGTCTGTGGAGATTATGTCTATAACTGAGCTGGAACGGAAGAGTTTGGGTTATTTCCTAGACTGTCTGTCTCCTGTGAATTCGCCGTCACCACCAGTGAGGTGTGAGACCAACCACTGTGTGCACATCTTTGCTTTATTCCCTAGTTCATTATTCCCAAGTTTTTCCCTACTTGATTTCCTCATAAAGCATCACCTAGCACAAGCATTTAGCTGAAAGTCAGGTAAGCCTATTTTGTTCCTAGTGGGCTGAGTTAATCCTGCCTCCAGAACCATTGAAACTGGTTTATCTCCCTCCTGCCCCATCCGATTCCCGGTAAATGTTGACCGTTAATGTCACGGGGGAGTGGCCTCGCTCTTGAATTCGCCACTGAGCGGTTTTGCTTAAATCTTCCTGAAAACTCAGCTTTGCCGATCAGCAAATGTCACAAGTGCAGGAGACCAAACTTCCTCTTCAGGAGTATATAGTGGGGTGGGGCCGTATGGACACTGGCTCCAGCTGAAACCTAATTGGATGGTTCCGCTGTCACTCACCAGTTCAAAACATATCATTGGCTAATGTTAACGTTGGCCCCTCTATAAGAATTATGCCCCCTTTTGTAGCCCTACCTTAAAAAATCCTAGAATACGGAGCATGAACGTACGAGAGTGCTTGACGCACCATACATGTAAGGCATCTTCCCCTTTCAACTGATGGGCTAAACAAAAGCAACTCTCAGTTTTTCTTTGTAGTGCGGGCAAAGCAAAGAGGCAGACAGACTGAGGCTTTTTGCTTATTTATTTCCAGTGCTTTGACACATTTCATAAAGCAGAAATACCTCACAATCTGATTAAGGAAAACGCCTGCAGTGACAGGATTAGACTTTTCTGAAGCCGATCAGCTGAATGTATTAATGCACGGCCGTCTAATACAATCAGCAGCCTTTGATCTGTGATGATGCCATATCCCTTTGACAATAGCAGCTTAGCTGCACGACTAGATGCTGTTAAGTGATGCAGCCGTCTCTTCTGTGCAGATAATAAGTATATTTACGCAGTTGTATGTGCTGCCTTTTTACACACCTACTTTACTTTTTATTGATCTATCCTTAATTTATTAATAGTTTTTCTAACCCGTTCCATATGGATAGGCCAAATGACTCTTATAAAATCCAAATCTCAGCATGACTTTTTTGGGTTTTGCAGCCTGTTAGTTCAGGATTATCTGTCTGTCTCTCTCTCTCTCTCTCTCACGCACACACACACAGGTTTATAATTACATCTTTGTGGGGACTCTCCATTCACTTCTATGGGGAGAACTCTAATCCCAGCATGACGACCTTAACCTCTACCCAGCGCTAACCTAAACCATAAGTAAACAAACAAGATACAAAACTTTTGGCATTTTTACTTTTTTGATTGTACTCACAGATTTTTGTGGGGACCTGAAAAATGGTCCCCACAACGTCAAAATAACAGGTTTTTATCACATTGTGGGGAACATTTGGTCCCCACAATGCAATAAAACATAATCATCACACACACACCTCACACAGAGACACAGATGTTGAGCTGCAATCATTCTGCATAACCTGCTTGTCTTTAGCCACTAGAGGCTAACAGGCTCCTCCCCCTCCCTAGTCGTTGGACACGGCCTCCCCAGGTCAAGCCTCTCAGAGGGGGGCGCTCTGGCGCCTCCGCCTGGCAGATCGAGGATCACCGATCGCTTGGCAATGAATTGCGGAAATAAAACTCCAGCGGTGTAGAGGTGGTGATCTAGCCAATTACACGGCCTGCTGCGCACGCCAAGGAGGCCTTTCCAGAAGTTTCCCTGGAAATCATGTCATGAGTCACAGTGCTGCAAGAACGAAAAAAAATGTAATAGTCCATCTGTTTCTTTGCAGTTTTGTTTCTGGAGGAAGCTTCACAAACACTGCAGGCTTTGGGAGCCACTGTTTTAGCTTGGTCCTGCTCCTTTATTGCAGAAGCCGCTTTTTTAAATGAAACCCCCGGCTCGTGGTGGGAGATGATGCAGAGGGTGCGGAGGGGACGGCCTCCTTTGTGTCTGTGCAGCTAAAAGGCCAATACAGCCAGAAAGCCGCCATTAAGTAGTAGCTCGCAGCGGGGCGGGCGGCCCACAGATAAACAGAGCGTTCCACCGAGGCGTGTTAATTCACTGGCATCCACTGCGACTGCATTGTCCGACATGTAATTCCCAGCCGGGAAGATAAAGGGTTTACCAACTGGACAAGCTGTCCGCATCTCATATTTATTAGCCCCCTAACCTTCACGCAGTTCCTCCACGCCGGTCTGTCGTGGACGGCGCCCCGCAGTAGTCAGATGTCATCCGCCTGTGACAGGGCCTGAGCGGGACTTATAACGGGGATGAAGTTCTTCAAGCGATGACTGGAAGGGCCTTGTGTGAGCGTGTGGCTGAAGGCTAAATAGCCGGTGGTTGTCTTTGGAGGGAAGCATACCCGAAGAACTGCGTACTGTAGCTCGATTGGTGTAAAAGGGCCCCGAGTCAAGCCTGAGGTTGACTAAATTTGTTCTTATTGCGCGGTGTGTGGCTCTCTGGGTTTGGACTCTGCGCCTGTGATCGGAAGGTTGCTGGTTGAAATGCGAGGATCAGCATGTTGCCAGAGTTGGTTCCTTGAGTTGAAGCGATGGGCTGAGTCTGCCTTCCCAATTGGATAAAAGTGATGTAATGTCACATGGGAGGTGTTTTTAGGCTTACCTTAATCTCGCCATGCCTTACAGAGCATCCGTTTTGGTGGTGACAGCTTCAGAGGAAATTGTTAAATTGAATTATAATAATATAGTAAGGCAGCAGAAGTGATATGTCTCTTCGTCTTAGAGTTAATTTTGAAAAACACAGTGGAGACTAGGCAGGAGAAAGTGCCTTCATTTATAAAAGTTTTCAGGCACAGAAGGATGAATTTGATACTTCAGGAATGTTGTAAATGATCCCAAAGTGTTTTCAGGTTGCAGGCATGCGGATCCTGTAACCCCCCTCCCCCCCTGACCCCCCGTCCCCCAGGTTACCAGATAGCCTATCGGCTGGATGCCAGCGACCCCAACAAGTTCACCACGGTGGAGGTGGGCTCCACGGCCCGGCAGTTCACGGTGACGGGGCTGTCCCCCGAGTCCGCCTACATCTTCCGGATCTCCGCCAGGACTCAGCAGGGCTGGGGTCTGCCAGAGGAGGCTGTGGTCATAACGACAGAGAGACGAGGTCAGCTCTCATGGGCCATTTCCGCTCACCGGCGCCACCTCCTGTCACTCAGAAACACTGCAGTTGTGGCTTCTTCAATGCTCTTCATATCTTTATGGGATGTGTTCCAGGAATAATCCCAACAGATTGTCCTTTTTGGAACGTTCATTGTAAATATAATTATAGTTTTGACCTTTTTTCTTATTATGGTGGATTTTCATTTACAATGCACCACATAAGATTGCTGCACTACACTTTGGAGAAACCTGTGGGAAAGGGAGTGTACTGTAATGGACAGTATGAGAAGGGGAGAATAGAAAAGCCTTTCGACTGGAAACAGCTCGCAATGCATGGGCAGCTACATTATGCACAGCGTCGAAGGGTTTGATTGGTTACACCGTGTTGTCACAGACATATGAGAGTGTCGTGTCGCGTCACCGGGGCTGGTCCCCTCTTACTCAGCCCAGCATCGCTCTAACGAGGAAGGTCGATAAAAGCGATATAAACAGCTCTGAAATTCTTTGGTGTTGTAGAAATAAAGGCTAATTAATCAGCCTATTTGGCTCGTGAAAGACAGGTCACCCACTGACAGCCTGTCCAATCGATGGCTGTTTTATTACACGGCCTGCATGTTTCAGCCAATCGATAATAGCTACCTTTAAAATTAAACAATTATGCTTCTCTGTATTGAGTCTTGATTTTGTAATGGATGGTGGCCTGTGTCTTGGTGTCCCGGTGTGCGGGATGGGGGCACTGAAACTCCCCCCGCATGCTTATTTACACCATCGATTGATCAATCGACTGCCGCCTAGTGTCATGGCCGCCCCTGTGGGGCTTGTCATGTGACCTGAGGCTGTTGCCCCGTCTCCCCCTGCAGACCGGCCCCAGCCTCCGAAGGAGCTGAGCATCCCGCAGAAGGAGGTGGACTCGCGCCGGCTGTTCCTGTGCTGGGTGCCAGGGGGCGACGGCTCATCGCCCGTGCGCTACTTCACCCTGCAGATACGCGAGCTGCCCGCCGGCGACTGGCGCACGCACTCCGCCGCCATCGGCCACAACAGCACCTGCTGGGAGGTGGACCGGTGAGCCCTCTCCTGCCTGGTCACATGGTTCCTCACGCCAATAGAAGGGCAGCATCTGGTCACGTGATCCACAGGAGTGACCCCAGATGACATAGGATTTGGGCAGTTTGCACATGCAGTCAGTCCTGCTAAATCGCACCCCATGCTGTCACGTTCGGGTAAGTCGGCAAGCAGGGACGCAGGAGAGCGAGCCAAACTGACGGGTAATCAGGAGGTTTAATGGTCAAAGGACAGATAGGCAGAGACATCCACGGACACTACAATGGCGGATCTGGGGAAACTAACTGAGACACGGACTAAATGCACAAGACAGGTTGAACATAACAGGCAACAGGTGATCACAATCGGGGATTCACACGAGGTAATGAGGGGGGCGTGGCACACACGAGGACCGTACGGAGCTGGGCGTGACACATGCTTTCCTGAAAAACCTCCACTAAAATCTTGTAGTAAAATACACATATGCGACGGGGAAAACAGGGCTAGGGGAATGTTACTCCAGAACTTAGAAACTTACGCCAAACAAAATGAATTAAATAATAAAAACAATGATACCATTGGCCAGTAATGAAATCATATGCATTTTAAATAATAAATAATAATTATATGTTCATAAATTATATCAAAAACATCTCCAGTGGGTCTGGATATTGGCCGAGTAACCACCTCAACCGAACGTGCTGAACTCTCTAACTTGTCGATTGTCAAGAGTTGAGAGTAGTGATGGCCAAAACGACGCTTCATGACCCATTTGCTGTATTTTCTGACACCACTACATGGTGGGGTCACTGGATTAACTTTGCATCGTGGGGTGAGTCCATCAAACCCAAAAGTTTTCTTTAAGATGTATTTGCATTGCAGTCGTGCTGTAGTGACAGTTAACTTCTGCTTTGCAATACTGAGAAACGACTACGTTTTCATTCACTTTTAACATGCTTCCACACAAATGACGCTTTCGCTCTTTATTTTCACCTTCATCCGGTTTGTGCCGTCTCCCTTCCACCATATTGCCGAGAAATCAAGAAGGAAAATTTTTATTGATGCTTTTTTAATAATCGAGTAATTGTGGCAGCTTTAGTTATATGTGATATAGGGTTCCAGCCTACAAATAAATGGCAAAGGTTAGAGTTTGCTTGAATCATTTTCTGAGGTACATCATTTCTTATCTACCCCTAATTATAACATCATTACATAATGATCTGTCTGTCCAGTTCACTGTTAATGTAAGGTTTGGAGAGCTTGTCAGAGACACTGTAGGATCCTAGCCTTGTTTGCAATTACGCATTTAATTAATAATGAATCCAATGAGCCTTTTAATTGTATTGTTTTGGCCCCATTCTCTCTGAATGGTTTCTCTCTCCTGTCCTGTCACTGTTTTCCCAAAGGGACAAGGCCTCATTTTCTGGGTAGGCAGCGCTGATCCTGAGGGTTTGGACACCTTTCCCTCTTGGACAGCTTGTAGGGTCAGTGGCTCTCGAAGTGGATGGGGCGACACGTGAGCCATTTCAGGCAAATTGGAGATAATTACCTGTACCCTTGTCCAGTTCCGTAATTTAGCCCTGTCTCCTTTGGAATTGAATGTGCACCCCCCCCCGTCTCCCGGAGTGACAGGTCAGCGGGGTGTCACTCCTGCCTTCCGCGCGGACGGCCGCCGGCGGTGATTGGGTTCTGAGACCCCTCTCCGGCAGGCCCTGATTAGCGGATGGGCTGATTGCTCAATCAGAGCTCATCGCCGAGTCGCATTGCCAGGCCGTCTGGGCATCCGGGAGCCGAGCGCCTCAGTCGGCATCCAATCAGCCTCACCTGTGGGAAGACCTCGGAAGTCTCCCGGAATGAGAAGCGGTCTCCCTCGATTCGCTTTGCGGCTGGGGCAGGAGAAGATGAATAGCTGAGTCATAAAAATAACTCCCATCGACAATAAAGCCGGATGAACAATTGTTGTTTCAAATCAATACACTTCTGTCTTTTTACTTCGGTGATGTTTTGTGCCGTCTCCAATCAAAGCAGCGTAGTGCCCATACAGCCAGTGGATCCTTATCTTTTACGAAACCCTGACTATTTCTGTCTCCGTTCATAGCTCAGAGGCTCTAATGCAGTTGTATTTAATCCAAATTTAACCTGCTTTCCTGCTCCTCTTCCCTGTCCTCCTGGTTGTAGCTAAATAAAATCCTTTAATGCCTGCCATGCCTGTTGCCTTTCATCGTGCGCCTGCCATTTACTTTGAGTAGATACTCGGGTTGATCTCTCCCCATTCACCCTATTATTTTTATATATCTATCAAATGCTTTTGTCCAAAGTCACGTAGTAGTGGGGAAAGCTTGGAGTCCAAGGGCAGGGGGTCGGACGGGGTTACGGGGCCACTTGGGGTTAAGAGCTTTGCATGAAGACCCAAAGGTGATATAATTACTTTGTCAGGCGTGGGATTTGAACCCATAACCTTCCACACACGAGCACCGGTCTCTCCCCTGCTGAGCTGTACACCATATATAATTAATGACTGTCTCTTGAAAGACAAGGCAGTGAATCCTTTGTGCAAAGTGGGAGGAGGGGGATTTGCGGTAGTGTCATGTGTAATGACGAGATCCCCCTCCCCAAGGCTGAAGCCCTTCACGTCGTACCGGCTGAGGATGATGGCGACCAACGACGTGGGCGACAGCGCTTACAGCAAGGAGACGCACGCAGTCACAACGCTGCCAGACGGTGAGGGCCGCTGCGGCTGTCCGCCCGGGGCTGCCGTTAGCTTTACGGCTGTGTAGCAAGCGGCTGGTGAAGTATGATAATCTTTTCAGTGAGTGTGGCGCCTTTCAATTAAAAGCAAAACTGTTGGATCTCAGTAGGCTGATAAAAAATAAACAGGTATTACTCTTAAGCCATATCGGCGGCTTGGCTTTGCTTTTCTCAGGTTTTTCACATCCCATCTGGGTGGCAGTTAAATCCACCCCGTTAGTTTGACCTGATACGTTTAATTGCCAGCTTCTGTGAACTATACAGCCTCAGGTGTGAGGGAGGTAAAAGAGCAGTTTCTCCTGAGTAACGGTGGGCAGTTGGTTTCCGGAATCTTCCTGTCAGGTTTGGGAGAGGCCCACGCCACGGCAGCTGTTTATTAGCATCAGAGCGGCTGGCGCGAGCCGCGATTAGCCCCAGACGCAGCACGCTCGGCTGTTTTTACCTTTATGACATTACTGCGCTGGGTAATATCACTCTCCCTGCGTAGTGAATGGAGATGGAAATGTCACCGGGCATCAGGAAACAGAGCGTATAAACGATATAAGGTCCATGTTTCACTCTTTCTGTCATTTCTCTCTTCCTAATTGCATGTATCCCTTCTCTGTTTTCACATTTAAGAAGCTATTTTATGTCAGAAATGTGTGTTATACAAGACGCTGAGATGTGCAGAGGTATCGCCCTTCTCTTTATTGGAGAGGTTTATTAGGACAGAGCTTTTGAAGCGTGTCCACTTGAGGTAATTGAATCCTTGTGTGTTTTCTGTTTCATTGCAGTTCCTGACGAGCCACCTGTTATTTTGGCCGTAAAGCCGTCCACTACGACCTCTGTTCTTGTCCAGTGGCAGGTTTGCATTATAAACCTTATATTTTGGCTGTATGTCACCACCACCTCGGTTCCAGCGTCCTTTAACAACGGGGGACCAGTTGTAGGTCAAAGACGTCCAGACTGGATGGGGGGGGGCTGCAAGGAAACACGACTCTTTATACCATTTTAGTCATGTGACCCTTAGTAAAAATCATATCTGCAGTCTGCAAGTCACTTGACTTTACATTTCCCCAAAAGAGCGGGACCTTTTCAGAAGCCCCCCCCCAACTAATAATGATACCTTTGTCACTTATCTGTCTGACATTTCATGGATTTAATTGCAACCTTTAGAAAACACTCGAGTTTTAGCTTGTTGAATGTAATTAAATAATTGCCATGCCTCCTGTGTGCTTAGGGTATACAATTAATGGTTCCTAGCAAGCTTTTCCTTATTTAAAACTTTCACAAACACATCTATATGGTGCATTTAAACCCATTTAGAAGTAGAGTATCAAAGAGATGCATTAATTAGCATTAGAAATCTTTATTTTGAGTCTTGGATAATGTCCCTGAAATGCGATTGTCTGTATCGATACGACTCGCTCCTCAAATGGACTTTTCTAATGAGCTAATCATTCGGAGCTCCAATTCTCATTTTTATTTATTGCTTGCTTGCTATCGAATGAGACTAATGGGTGAGAGTGTCAGCGCTATTCCTGGAAAGGAAATCTGTATCGGGAGCTGTAAAGGTATAGATTGTCCTTTCCTGCGTGATGTTTTCTCTCTTCCTTTTTTTTCCCTTGGATTGAGAAAGAATGAGCGTGAGATGGAGAAATAAGGTGCTGCTGAACTTTAATGTTATCCGGTGTGTTGCAGCCGCCTAAGGCAGAGAGTGTGAATGGGATTCTGGTAGGATACCGGCTCTACTACCGCGAGCTGCAGTATGACACCAGTCCGCAGGAGTCCAAGGCAGCGGGAAACCATTCCGCTTCCCGGGCGGAAATCACAGGTGGGAAACCTGTTGCTCATTCCCGGCCTCGCTTTACGCTCATCTGTTCCCATACCCTTCGTGGTGACTTGGCCGTTTCAACACGTTTGTGGGGTTTTAAAATTTGTTTAAACAATCACTTAATTAACAGGGGTTTTATACGACCGCTGAGTCGTCACCTTAAAGTACGTTAATTCGCCCATTGTTCTTTATATTGGCAGCAAAGCTTTCTGCTGGGTGCCTTGGCCTTTTACCGCGATGAAACAGTCATTGAATACATGCTCTCCTACACCGAGAATGACACGACACTCATCTTCATGACAATGGGCGACGTACCGAGCAGGCTCTCAGTATTGACAGCGTGCGTGTGGGTGTGTGCGCGCATGTTCCCGTTCACGTGCCGCCTTTGTACTAGAAAGAGAAATAATATCCCTCAAGCTCGTACAGATTAATGCCGTGTGAAGTCGATGTGGACCGACTGATTGGCAAAAGCTTTTTGTATGATGATTTAAGAAGTTGTGGTGGAAATGAACATTGTTTAGCAAACACTCCAGTGTGATTGAAGAGTCGGGTATCATTTCAAGGCAATGTCAATATCTTAGCATATCAAACATTAACTTAGCAGGGCGGCTAGTTATACTTAAAGGCATGAAGAGGCCATATTTCTGAAGACTCGATTGCAAATGCATAGAATATTTACAGGAGCGTGACGAATTTATTTTTGTGTCTTTCATTCAGTATAACAGTTGATAAATTGCGAATACTGTTTTGTTTCAATAATTAACCCATCTAGAAACCTCGTAGATCAGGGGTGGGCAATCTTATACAGAAAGCGCCGTTGGGTATTTTTGCTGCAACCTCCCTAAGGTTACTAATTAGATTAGATTACTAATTAGAGGACTGTTTGGCTGACGAGTCCTCTCACCTGGGTTTGAACAGCTGACCTACAGGTTATCTCAGAAACCTGCGCACACACCGGCCCTTTGCGGAGAAGATTGGCCACCCCTTCTGTAGATATTAACGACAAGTCAATATCTAACAATGGCAATTTAACATTAGCTAGCTAAAAAATAAAATACGCTTGCACAAAAAGTTTGTGCAGATTTTTTGCCTGCGATATATTTTAAGCTATAAACTTGTCTGAAATTTAACAAGGTCTGTTTCCCTTTGTTTACGTCAAACAGCCAAAAGCACTTTCAAGACTGTAAGCAGTGCTTTGTTGACAGAATTTGAGTTAACACGTAAGTTTCCCTTAATTTTCACTCTATTTGAGTTTGCTGTACTTTGAAGTTTCGAACAAAATATTCATGCTTCCTCTGGCAAAAGTATGTAATCCCAGGCGTGCACCTCTTCTGTTTTAACTTGAGCTTCCTCTAATTTAAGTATTTTGTCGCAGAACGCAGGAACAATTTAGCCTCCAGATTGCCAGAACTGTTAGTCATAATCCCTAGAGTGCAGATCAGTCTCAGAAGTCAGTAGTTTTTAAAAATGTTTCTGTGCTATAAAAATCCCATATTCCTCCATTTGCACACTAGGTAAGATGAAATGCAAATGTTATTATAAAATTATACAGTGCAGGCATTCAGAACAAGATCATGCTTTGAACTGACATGTTTTGAGATGTGTAATTAACTGCAAACCATTCTGTATTCAAATTGTAATGTATCTAGTAGTAATAACCATACCCAGTGACATAATGCATCCATGGTAACCGATAACCTGGATACTTGGGGGGGATTGGATTGGTCTGGATTTGGAGCCCAAACCGGCCTGCTTTCATAGGGCCCAAATTCGCTATCTCTTACTGATAGCTAAGATCATTAGTTGAGGACTTCTCTAGCTGCTTAGAATTTACTAGCCCTGATTTCCCCAAATTTGGTCTTGGAGGGCAAGTCTGCACCACAGTTTGCAGACTACCCTGCTCAAACACACCTGACAAATGTGGCAATTGGCTGGTGAGCTGAATAAGGTGTGTCTGAGCAGGGGAATCTGCAAACTGGTGCTGACTAGGACTCCAGGACCGGAACAGGGGAAGCCTGTACGAGCCGAACCTACTGAGCTGCATTTTAGCTGGCATCACCCAGATAAGGTCTCTGTGAATGTTTCTGTGTATGATGGGGTACTTTAGCCTAGCATGTTAGTTAGCCTAGCATGGTTAAGGGTAGGCAAGTGAATTCCCATCAGTGAAATTCCCATTCTCGTAAGTCTGATTATATGTACAAAAGCACTCTAAAAATAATGTTACAATGAGTATTTGTACCAGTTTTTTGCAGCAGTAGTTACTGAAGAGAATCTTCATAATAATCGGTCAAGGGAGAAATAGAATACTGTCATGATGTCAAATAACAGTTGTAAATTCAGTACTTGTGTAGCTGTAAACATAGTGTTAGGGAATAGTAGTAATAAGGAAATAGGAAGGCTGCACGCATCATGAAGGGGATGGGGAAAGAAAGCCCTCAGGAGCCTCTTCCTGGAGGAGTGAAGACCGCCCGGGAGCCAGTGGGGTCAGGCCTGTTGGGGATTGGAACTGATGTAGTGCCGAGGCGTCGCCCGCCGCACGGCAGCACTCAGGCGGCCCACCCGGTTAAACTCGTGGAGCGTCCCTTCTGGGACTGGACTGCATGTCAGCCTGGGGGGGTCCATTGTGTGGTGGGCGTGGCAATGCGCTGTACCAGTGCAGACTCCCCAACCTGACCCGGGCAGACCATTCTGCTGTGTTAAAAACAAAATACTTTTCCTGAAAATGAGTTCCTTGTTTTTAGTTGAATTTTCCTTTTTCCAATAAATCTGACCAATTACCTGGCTTATTTTTAAAGTTGCATTTTTCCCATATCTTTTCCGTTATCCCCCCCCAACAGAGCTCAGTAAGTACAAGCGGTATGAGATTGTGATGACAACCTACAACGTCATTGGGGAGAGCCCCCCCAGCGCCCCAGTGGAGGTGTTTGTGGGAGAAGCAGGTAAGGATGGGTTTGCTGGATACACATGACCAGTGGTGGAGCTGGTTTTCATACTAGCCCACAATGTGCCATGTAATCTACAAGCATAAACAGCAAACAAAGGCCATTACATCTTACACTAATAAATTACCACGTAAAAAAGTTTTTTTAATATATCATGTATTCATTTCCATAAACAATTTACTCATTCAGTCATTGTATATCAATTCATACTACTCACTGAATCATTGAATTAATGTTGTTAAATGCAGAGCAGAGATGAATACGCTATGTAATGTGGTATTTTATTGTAGTCTGACATGCAATTTTTTCTACTAGCTTGCAGGCCGGTGTTCAGTGTTATGTACTCGCCCTCTAAATTACTCACCTCAGGCGAGTGGACGAGCTTAATTTCCAGCCCTGCATACACACATTTTTTATGTAGATATGAAAAAAATAACTTTTGTTAATAAAAAAGCACAAAAGCTCAATTCAAATAATGTGGGAACTGAGTGAGTTGCCTGAAAGGTAAGTACTGTACATGAACATTGTTGTGTGAATTTTGGTGTCTAGTTTGTTCAGGCTTTAGCAAAAGCTTATAACTTAAAAAAGATTTTTTTCCCAGCATAACTACCATATTCTCATATACCATTCACTTAAATAACTATAACTCAAAGCTTAGTATCCAATAAAAGAACAAAATCTGAGACGGACGAGTAAACAGCTCTGACCTCTGATGACCTGAATTGAATTTCTACTCAACCATGTGATGTAGCTGGTTAAACCTCATTAAATTGTCAGTGGAGAAAGTTTATTCTTCAGATAAAACTGAGTAATTCCCCATGTGATTCTTTGAACTCCCTATAACAAGATATACTGAAGTAGGTTAAAATATGAATTACTTTTTTAGATAAGCCTTCTATAGTACGTCTTTACACTCGGGCTGATTGACTTCTACGTCTCTGTGAGGTCAGGGTACATTGTGTTCCTAGAGAAAAGACTTCTCTAAGTTGGGTGTACAGAAATGCAAATAATATTAACAGAACAGTTCATATTATCTTTTCAGATAGTTTGCTTTTGACCAGAGGAAAACAGGTCTGAACTATGATCTTAGTTATGACTCATAAAAGTTTTATTTCAAAGAAATGCTGGGTTTATTCATTTATAATTAATGAGGAACACAAGCTTACAGTGTCAGTGTATTAACTTTATCTGTCTAGGTATATTTTCTGAGTTAGACTTTAGTGAACAGCTGCAGAACCGATCAGTCTAAGTAATCATCACTACAGCCAACATTGTGCAGTGCACTGTCAGAAAAAAAATTACCATTTACTTGTCACTGGGGCTGTATACTCAAAGGTTTGCCAATTCCCTAGCAGCAGGTAAATGTACCTTTTAGTCTAATTTAAGGTACAGAAATGGACTCTGAGGAACATGTTTGTACCATTGGGGGTAGATTAATGTTTGCACTTTGAAGAACAAAATTGTAAGAGGGTTGTACCCATTTTTCTGCCAGTGTAGGTGGTTTGGGGTGTTGACGAAGGGGTTAAGGTCTTATTGAGTGTGACGGAGCTCCATGTGGAATGAATTCAACATCATGAGCCTGTTTTGGAAAACAACACATTGCAGGCGACTGGGGAAGAGGATGTTACTTACCAGGCATTCTAAAATAGTGAAGAAGACAATAGCAAGAACACAAGTACGTACAGGATGACAGGGTATGAGTCCAATTAGCCAACAAGAATGATGCATTTTTTTCATGGAAGAAGCAAATTTGAGTTCTGAGCTATTATCAAGTCTGATTATGTGCTTTTCATTCTCTCAGTTAGGATGAGGGATATTACCATTCTGTGCTATTATTTTCGGATATATGACTAGGGATCTTCAAATAGCGTGATCTACCGCGCTAATGCCGAATCATTGCCAAAACAATTACAGAAAATTTTAAAGAAATTTAAAGCTAAAGAGACAGTTTGTCTGTGTGAAATTAAATCAGTAGGCCTATGAGACAGGCTGTGCTAATGACCTGAGAGAGGAAGGAGCTATTTGATAAGCTGAGACAGAGCTCAGATCCTCGACTGAGGGTCCCGTGATGCAGAGATGCATGTCAGACCAGGCCCCTGATTAAACAGCAGCATAATCCTGTAGCTGTGGATGAGGCATTTGGGGATGAGAAATCCCTCCCTCTCTTCACAGAGTGAGGTGATGACCAACACAGAGTGCCTCATCCGCACTCATCCCATCTGCCCCTGGTCCATCACCTCCACACTCATCCCATCTGCTCCTGGTCCATCACCTCCACACTCATCCCGTCTGGCCCTGGTCCATCACCTCCACACTCATCCCATCTGCCCCTGGTCCATCACCTCCACACTCATCCCATCTGCCCCTGGTCCATCACCTCCGCACTCATCCCATCTGCCCCTGGTCCATCACCTCCGCACTCATCCCGTCTGGCCCTGGTCCATCACCTCCGCACTCATCCCGTCTGGCCCTGGTCCATCACCTCCGCACTCATCCCATTTGCCCCTGGTCCATCACCTCCGCAATCATCCCATTTGCCCCTGGTCCATCACCTCCGCACTCATCCCGTCTGCCCCTGGTCCATCACCTCCGCACTCATCCCAGTTGCCCCATGTCCATCATTTTCCTCTTTTCATTGACTGTACATTTTCCTCTTTTCATTGACTGCCGAAATTGGCCCAGGAATGATGCAATTACATTAATAGGGTTGGGGGAACATTGTATTTACATGGCCCCAGTACTGGAGGCAACCTGTTTAAACAGGTTGGACAGCATTCCCTTTCCTTCAGTCACTGATTTTAAATATAAATGGGATGGTCCAGTGTTTTCTGGTCCATTCCTCGGGGACCTCCAGGCAGTCCGACCAGGAGGGAGCAAAAACGTGGACCACGTGGGAGGGAGCAAAAACATGGGCCCGTAGGGGTCCCTGAGGACCTGATTGGGAAACACTGAGCTAGTGTAACTCGCACAGCTTAAGCCTTTGCCTACTTGAGTAGTTTTGCACCTAGATTAATATCCAGTGTAGATTAATTTCAGATGGATGCCCTGGCTCCTCATCAATACTGTAATTAGGAATGTGCTAACGAAGCGCGTTAATGAAGGAGGACCCCTTCACGAGCGAGTATGTCCAGGAGATGACTTGAATTGTTTTAGGGGTCCATGTTTATGTCATCCTTTTGCCTCATCCGTTATGCACCCACAGTTAGTATTAACCCCCAGCCATGAGAAATGGCAACCGCATGAAAGGAGTTTATCTGTAGACTGCTCAAACGCATTGCTGTAATGATTGTATGGCTTTACACTCCACCAAGCAGCCCCTACTCTGAATTACCTCCTGCTACAGTGATAAAAGTTTACCTCAAGTTCTGAAAGTTTTAAGCCTGTTGTTGTTTTTCTGTTTTTTTTTTTTTTTTTTTGACAAATGGGGTTGTGCTTGGCCAATATCTATTTGGCTTTTTTTCAGGGTACTTCTAATAGATTGGTGAATTGGTGGCGTCTGTCTGCTGTCAGATGGATAATAAGCGTAGTCTCATCTCACACCGTGACCTTCTGTTCCAGCAGGACAGATTTCTCATTTCAGCCGGGTCTGACGCTAGTCTAATATTCACCCAGTCATTTATGGGAAGGGCACCCTGTCATCGACAGACCTCTGATTTTTCTCACCCGGCAATTTACAGATGTCGTCTTTGCAGTGTGGACTGATGATGTCCTCTGGATGGCTGTATGTCTAAAGTGAGAACAAACGTGTTAGATGACGCCAGCGTCTGTTCTAAAGTTCTAACCGACCATAGGGACCTTCTGCCTGGACGTCACGTACACGGCAGGGTAATGCATTATGAAGCACGTTAGTCTGCATTCTTATGACCTCAGTCCACCGCAGCGAATAAAGATCTCCCCAGAGAGTGATCCATAGGACCGGATTAAACCTGGGTGAATGATGACAGAAACACATGGCTCAAGCACCCAGTGGTAATATGGTGCGAGGGGGTGTGCACATGTTAGCATAAAGGTGAGGAGTGTGATGTTAGAGAGAACTGGGATGTTGAGGAAAGAGAACAGAGATCTAGTTTCTGCTCTTGGTGTTCAGAGACGGCCGTACATTTGCTTTTAATTAGCTGTGCCTTGGGGACAAATATTCGGCAAACATTCTTTTCTAGCTACTGTGTTTTTAACCGTCACTTTACTGTGACGTTTAAACACCAGAGCTCTGATACTTTTACATAAATGCATGCCTTTAATTGTGTTCTACAGTGAAGGTTATGGGAGTACTTTGCCCAAATCCCTGTTCCTCTCCACAGTTCCTCTGCCGTTTCAGGCTTCCAGATGAATTTGGATACATCTGCTTCTGCGGCTCGGCTATAGCAGGCCTTGATGGTTTCCACCCAAAGGGGGATGGGATGGCACGTTGGCACATTAGTGAAAGTATGCCTCATCGGTCTGGAAAGCTGAAATTGGATTACCAAAGCCAATTAAAAGCATCGAAGCCAAGAATGGGTGCAGAGTAGGCAAATGAATCACATAAAACATAAATACAATAATAAGAAATCGTAATTATGTGACCTATACTTCAAAATCTTCATGTGTTCAAGTATCATGCCCATGGCTTAAATGCAATCAAGCACAATCAAGTGCTCTTTATCGCTATTATAGTGTAAATAGTCCTGGTTCTGACTCATCTAGCCAATTGCAGCTAAAGCTCATCACATGACCTCTTAATCAACCTGATGAATGTGCTAATTATGTGGTACCTTTCCTCATTTTAAGAGGAAAACGGCGGCAAAATGTGAGCTGTCACTTTGACTGCCTCGTCGTTTTAACAGACTCCCGCAAAGGTAAAACACAATCGATAAGTGTCTGCGGACTGCTATGTGTAATGTAGGTCGGCCAACTCGTAAAGGTGACAGACTGATTTCACTTAGAGTCCGTTCTGATTTCTAGTTTTCTGTGCTAACTAGACTGGTCAGGGGTTTAATGGAGCAGTAAATATGAACCTCCTACCATGAACCTGAGCAGCTGGCAGGGCAACCTGGCTGAGGTCATTAGCATCATCATTAGAAAGGATCTGTCTGCGAGATTACTCTGAGGAGATGCAAGAGCTACAGCCAGACGACTGGATTTATCGTCCGGTCAGTCCCGATGCTGGGATCTTGCTGTGTGAAGGTTGTGCTCAGTCACTGGCAGAGGTGGAAAGTTCAGGTCCAGAAATTACAAATCCACACCAAAGGTTTTGTTTCAACCAACCAGTTGAGTATAAAGAGCCGCTGTCACAAAGTAGCCAGCTGGTTGGTTGAAACAAAATCTTGGTCTGTATTTGTAATTTCCAGACCTGAACTTTACACCCCTGCTCACTGGACACAGACCTCACTTTGATGGATCCCTGTCTGTTAGACTAGTGTTTAGGGAGCAAAAACTGGGCTGTCCTGGGCCCCCCAAAGTCCTGGTTGAGAAACACAGTGTTCGGCTATGCAGACCTTCCTGTGCCGAGTCACTATGCCTTATGGGGTCTCACACTCTAACTTGCAGGTATTTTCTTATGCACCAGAGAACTCACAGCATGTACTGCATGTCATCTGTATTCATGAGGTGCTGCAATTAGTCTCAAAGGTATTTTTCCCCCTATCAAAGCCTGTTGTGTGATTTGTTAGTAACAATGTCACACATGAAGTGAGACCCAAACTAAAAACAATTTCCTAGGTGGCCTCCAGTCAGGGTTCCCTGTGGACACACCCTGTCACATCACTTCATGCTGCACCTAAATACTGCTCGTGTAACACATCTCTTAGTCTAAGAGGAATATAAGTAGGAGCCTTAGTGAGGTATCGCACTCACTCATTGCCTAACTATGTCGAGCCCTTATGATTGAAGATTGCTTGTTTTCAAAAGCCACTGCTTATGGATTGTGATTTCGATTTTGGTAAAAGCAATACACTGGATTGTTGTTGGTCTGCACCCGACACAGGTTTCATGAATCACGCTTTGCGCCTGTTCTGGATCTCGATTTATTAAACCGCAGCGATGCATTTGGGTCTCCGATCTCTATCATTACCGACAGGACCATCAGCATACACAGATTCCAAAGAATAGCATTCTCATTAGAGCAATCAGTGCTGTAGTGAAAATCACGCAATATCTGCTGTGTTGAAATACACATTTGCACAATCGGAAGAGTCCATTTTCCTTCTGAGAGGCCAAATGTCCATTTTAAGGATATTTGGAGTTCTGCCCTACATTTCTCTTCCTAAATTAAAACAGTGAAGTAAATTTTTTTTGGTCCTGTTTACACAGGATTAAACAAGCAAATGAATTAGTTACAGCTCACGTTCAGCCCGTAAACACATTGCAGTGTTTACAGTCGGCCCCTTCGGTTTCTGTTTTTGGTACGACTGCCCGTGCGTGAAGGCCTACCATCCTGTCCTCTCGCTTGTTGCGCTTACTGTGCCTGGCTGGGGAATTCTGTGCGCTTGCCCTGACTTTGTCTGTCCCCTCAGCTCCATCGCTGGCCCCGCAGAACATCCAAATCAACGCTCTGTCCTCCACGCAGCTGGAGGTGGTGTGGGAGCCCCCCCCAGTGGAGACGCAGAACGGCAACATCCAGGGCTACAAGGTAAGGGCACCGTGATCCACCCCCCACCCCCACGATCCCACCGGACCCCGATGGCAGCAGACAGCGGCCATAATTGATGTGCCGATTTACTTTTGGTGTTGGGCTTATTTTACAACAAAAGCTTCAATCACTTGTACATCCTGGTTACTGTCGAGGTGCTCAAGGTTAATTATGCATCGCGGCAAATGGCAGTGTTGACACGAGCCGTAAATCCACAGGAGCCAGACACTGGCGCACACCTGTTCTTAATGCGAGTTTGCTCTGGGAACATGCAGAATCCCTGATAAGATTTGTCCTCTCCTCCAACTTCTGCTTTAAACTTTACCCGCGGTTCTCATCGATATTCTGCCGCAGTGCTCCGCCTCCTCTCCGATCCTAGTAGCAAGTTTTATTGTGTTTGCAGTTCGTCACAACAGACTGTGTTTCCAGTGTGGCTGGTGAGCTTGTGTATTACAGAGTAAACCCTATTTCTTTTAAACCTGAGCGCTAAAAGAAACATTGAACATTTTTTTTTTCTGAATGGGTGGCATTAAGTTAATTTAAAAGTGATAGACTATGGTAAGATGTATTTATCTTAATGTTATACTAGAATGGAGCATTAAGTTCTTAGTGGTACTTCTATTTCAGCTTATTTGGCTTTTTTAATATATGAATTAATTTGTTGAATGATATTTAAACTTCTGCCATTCTGTTACATACTGGTGCAGGATGAATGGGTGAATTCAGATTGCAAAAATGAGTGTGCACAGTTTTATATATGGCTACACTAGAATTTATCACCTCTGTTTTTCAAAATATTGCCATGTCAGCACAGTTAACTGGTAATAAATATTAGATGTTTCGATTTACAGTAACCAGCTATATGACTGTATCTCTTGTTCCTAATAAATAACAAGTCTACCAGTTGCAGACAACAAGCAGCTTCACCCTTTTTTATTAACTGATATCCTTGGATACAGCCAGGAATACCCACTGTAATGCGGCAAACCAGAAGTTTCTGCCTTACTTGAGTTCTGTCAGTTGAACTGTCCCATTTTTTTCTGAATTGGCACAGTAAAAGCTTCACAGGGGAACCTAACAGAGCTGTAAAAGTACGAATATGCATAATTTACCATTTGGTACATCATTTTTGATTTGGTACACACAATGAAATTAATGATTAGATTTATTTACATGGGCGTAAGTAGATGTTCTACATGGAAAACATTATGCTAATTGTGAGTGTGAGTTGGTTACAGCCAGAGTTGGTTACAGTCAGTCATAATCAGTATTTTGGGCACGTTTTAGTTTCTTAATAAATTCTACCAGCACTGGACAGATAGTAGCAGATCAAACCAAGACTGTCTGTCGCTTCTGTTAAACCGAACTCGGATATGTTGCTGGAAACGTCCAGCGTGCTAACTCATTTGAGACGGCATCATTCAAGTCTGTGTACGACTGAAGCGAGGTGGAAACAGCCTCTGCAAGTTAGTCTCCCTTTGACATTTACTTTTCCTAGGAAATTGAGACAATGGATAATTTCAAAATGTATAGAAATTACACTGAACTATGCAACCAAAATCGATCTTTGTATCGAACCATGAGTTTTACGTACCGTCACACCCTAATCCTAATGTATTGACGACAGCTTTTGGAAATGCTAACTTTTGCAGAAACTGGTGCCTTCCTTTTTTGCCTTTGAACCAGATCTATTACTGGGAGAAGGATAACCAGAACGAAACAGAGAAGGTGAAGGTCCTGTTTGTCCCCGAAACGGCCATGAGGCTGAAGAACCTCACCAGCTACACCTCTTACGTGGTCAGGCTGTCAGCCTTCAACGCCGCGGGGGACGGCCCTCTGAGCGAGCCCAGAAGGGGCCGCACTCTTCAAGCGGGTGAGCGCCCCCTTATGGACTGGCCTTCACCGTTGACTTTGTAGCAGTTTGCCTTGAAGCAGAACAGGAGTAGGGCACCGTAGGAGGTATGATATACAACAGCAAATCGTGTATCACCGCTCTTATTGCTGGGAGTCCCTCCCAGGCTCAGGAAAGGCTCACAGGAGTAATAATTAACTTACTGCTATGTTGTTCTGCTGTTTGCACCTTGTCCTTTTCATTAATGGGCTCCAATTCATTTCGGTAATGTAATTGAGCGCGGAGTGCATGTTGACCGCGAGGGGCATGATTGAAAGTCATACAATGAGGCCAGTCCATAGCGCCCTCCCACCTCGCCTCATCGGATATATTTAGCTAGGAGCTGCCATTATTAACGGCCCTGTTGCTATGCGGCCCCAGTGTTTGCTGTTAATAATCTGTCCGTCTCCGTTAAACACGGAGTAGGGGTAAACGAGACCGGAGTCCTCGTGAAAAGGCTGCCAGCCAGTGTGATGGGGAGGTGCTAATGCACAATTACAGTGATAATCCTCATCTTCAAATCTGCTGTGTAGAACAAATGTAACATCAAGCTACCGCTACTGTTAAATAAGTTCAACGTGACAGGTGTGTCAGATATGGAGACAATGTAAATAAGATCTTAGTCCTACAATTACCCAATGTTTCAATACCTCCCCACCCCAAGCTCCAAGTGTTCCCAGCTTCATCACCTTCTCCGAGGTCACCACTTCCACCCTCAATGTCTCCTGGGGGGTCCCCCTGTCTCCTAATGGCGTGGTGGAGGGATACAGGGTCGTGTATGAACCCTCGGCTCCCATACACGGTAAGTGATGTGTTCTTCCTCCCAGTCACAGAGAGCATTCTTTGGTGAGTGGTTAGGAAAATAGGCCCATCAAGAAAAGATTCTAATCCTAGAGAAGATGCTCCTTCTTCATTTAACCTGATTTCTTTCATTGAATTGAAAAATGGTGAGATTTATCAATGATATTACACCGAAATAAAAAGGTATTGTAAAAACATGTCACATGCACTTAGCCAGAGATGAGGCGCTGAAGTCATTCTAACTGCGCAAAGAGGTGCATTTAACAAAAGACCTTTTCACATCTGATGGCTTTAAATGTCAGCGCTGCAGTTTATGAGCACTCGAATCATAGGAAATAATGTGCATTAGCCTTTGGAAATCAGTCTTGTTAAGATGCTGTGAGACGGCCTTAGTGTAACGGTAACATCCCATTCATCGCAGATCTGATCCTTGTACAATACAGTGACAGTACAGCCATCCTTTGTGCTTTTAGGATGCAGTCTTCCGGAACTCGATAATGTAACATTTATATTGTGGAAGTGATTACTGTGTCAGCTGTGTATTCTAGTTTGGACATATATAATGTACATGGGGTGGACAAAATAATGGAAACATCACAATAAAAAGGGACTTTTACCTATATAATTAAATCACAGAGAGCGATAATGGTGAGTCATACTAGGCTGAATGCCAGCCAGCAGCATGTGTGAGATCTGGAAGAGATCTGACAATCAGCCCTTTAATATGCGAGATTTCAAAGCATCAAAAGTAGCTAAGAGAGCTCCAACGGGGCAAGGGATTGAATTGCAGGGTCTGAATTGCAGGTACATCATTCACAAAAGCCGCAAAATTGTAATGTCTCGAGGGCCACGGTCATAAAAAAGATGACCGCAGATGCCAAGATGAACACTGGTCACGAATCCAATCTGCCAGTGGGGGAGAACAGACACATAACAGGTTAATCGGTAAACACCACAAAAGTCTGGCCTCAAAAATTCTCTCTGACACATCCGTGACCCAGTCTCAACAAAAATTGTGCGTCTTGACCTCCGCAGAGCTGGAATTTATGGCAGGACAGCCGGGGGGAGGCGCTCATGTCCAAGGCCAGAGTACAAAGACGTATAACGTTTTAAGCAGCACCAGAAGCAGAGCCTGAGCAATGGTCTGATGAGCCATATGATTAAGTAGGGATGGGTGATATATTGATGAAATGTCATATCGTGATTATAAACAGCAGTTTGGCTACTGTGGTTTCCGTGACATAGCCTAAGCACTTGTCTTCTTGCATAATTAACAGTAATACTGCACTATTTTTACATAAATTCCATCAAGGTATGAGTCTGTTGTTGGCAAAATTTTTCATACCTGTCACATGCTTTATAACTATTAATAAAACAATTTCGTCATCATAATCAGAAAATCTCAAAACCGCCTGTCATATTTTACTGATCTCTACATTGGAATTTTAGAACATGGTGATAAATATTGATATTCTGAAAACATCTGAAAATATTGTGATAGCATTTTTCGGGCATATCGCCCGGCCCTACCCTCTGGGTTTATGTTTGGATGTTGCCACCCGCAGTGCCCGGCGGCGTGGGCAGCCGTCTCGGTGCAGGCACTAGATCCAGTGATTGATCTGCATCGTCATATAATAGCCCAGGAAAATAAAGGCATTTTACAGGACCAGGTGCATCCTATAGTGCACACACTGCTCCCTCATGATGATCCCATATTTCATGGTAATAATGCCCCCATTCACACTGATAAACAAGTTCAGGAGTGGTTTTAGGTCACTGGGATGTAGTCCAACGGCTTCCACGAGCTTCCCGAACACCAGACCAAAGCTACAGAAATTTCATGGAAAGTGCTGGAGTGCAGAATGCAAGGTAGATTTTCATCTCCTCCATCCCTCAAAGAGCTGGACCTCTTTCTGTGTGAAGAATGGTCCAATATCTCAGTACACACAGCTCGGGATGGCATGACATCATTCCTAACTGAACCTTTCCTAAAGGCAAAGGCTGCTCCAAGGTAGTGTTAAGGCCCTGTTGGAGTTTCTATTAATTTGTCCACCTACTCTATGTATATGTTATCTTGATATACAAGGTATATGCATATATTAATAGATATATTATATATAATATATGTGTGTGTGTGTGTGTGATAACGCTTTACATTAACTGCACCTTCATAATGCTTTTATATTGCATTCATAAAACGTTCAGTACACCTTCATAATGTATTCATTAAGTATTCATAAAACATTCACAAACACCATGTATGTATACCTTAACATTCTAACATCCCTTAACAGCTGTAATATACATTAATAAGAAACACTATATAATAATAACAAACATTATAATAGCATAATCATGCAATGTTTGTTATTAATGTATATTAAAGCTGTTAAGGGATGTTAGGATGTTAAGGTGTACATATGTGGTGTTTATGAATGTTTTATGAATGCATTATAAGGTGCACTTAATGTAAAGCGTCACCATATATGTATATATGTATGTATATTGTAAATGCTACAAATACAAACAGTACGGCAAAGATCATCTACTCATGTCAGAGACGACACCCCGCCCCCCCCCCAATTTTTCCTTTGGTTTCTTAGAATATGAGGTGAGTGTTAGGGATGCAAAGCTTTAAAATACTGAAGACCAAGATTAGTGGCACCTGCAGAAACAAACCACCGGCAGAGCTGTTATTCCTTGTTTTCCACAGATGAAAGTGGTGACGGTATTTAAATTGAAAGTCATCCAAATGTCATTCTTGTTATGTGAGAATATTTATACTAAAACTATGTATTAGCAGGGAGATTTGCATTTGCAACTGAAATTCGGAATATGCAGGAATAAATGATTTGAGTGACCACAGAATGCGTTAAGTTATGTCTTGTATAGGCTGCTGACTGATGGTTGGGATCTCCTCTCTTTCTATTCGGCAGGTGTGAGTAAGGTGGTGACCGTAGACATCAAGGGCAACTGGCAGCGCTGGCTGAAGGTACGAGACCTGACCAAAGGTGTGACCTATGGCTTCAGAGTGCAAGCCAAGACTATCAGCTATGGACCTGAGTTGGAGGCCAACATCACCGCAGGACCAGTAGAAGGTGAGAGCCACAGAGTTTGCTGTAGACCCAGACATTGCATCTGCTGCACAGGAAGGATCTGCCTAGTGAGGTTTATGGATTGTCATGATCCAGCACAGCACATCAGGGATTCACAGCAGAAAAGCACTTCATCAAATATGGATCGATGGTTCGCAGGCCTGCGGTTGAGCAAAGAGGTAGAATCACAAACTTTCATTGATTTAAGTCATTAAACAACGAGCTGTTTGGGGTTTGCTTTAACTGCTCTCCTTGTTAGCTACTGGGTGGTCTGTCCATATTTGTCTCAGCTGTCTTCCTCATCGAGAGACCGCTAAGGAATGCTGAGCGCATTCAGCATGGGCATCCTTTTGTCATCCTGTAATAAAAGCACTCTCATCAAAAAGTGTGCATCTTTGGCCTGACCAGTGGCCGTTGACCAGTGGCTATTAATCATTTGCCAATGACGTCTCTGTAGAGACCAGTCCAGATTTTGCAGTACCATAACAGATTCTTCCTTCATGCCCACAGGATCTCCCAGCTCTCCCACGAAGATGTCAATCACAAAGTCTTCCTCCTCTCTGACGATTCACTGGTCCCCAGGAGATAAAGGGGCAGGGTCTATCACAGGTTATGTTATTGAGGCACGTCCTTCAGGTGAGGGCATGTTTTGTATCTGGCGTTGCTTACATTTTCAAGACATGGATCGCAGTTAATAGTACAGTTGTTGCAGCCGATTGGCAAATAGAGTAGTGGCTGGGCCAGTTGAAAAACGACTCAAAATAACCTTGAATCAACATGCTTCCTTCTAAAATGGAAGTGTCTCTTGGAAGTCTTGACATCCCAGCTGCTATAAATACCTTTTTAAGACATCAATAAGTAGTATTTCCAAGTAACTATTGAATATTTAAAGATTTCTTTATTTGAGCACTACAGTGGAGATACAGAGTGTATATCACAACTCTCAGTGAATGCTTTTTTCTTAATTTCCTCGAAAAAAAATAACATCTCTCAAAGCAGAAGATTTCTCGGCAGAGAAATAGGTTCACAGAAATGTGCGGGAAGCTTCTCTTCTTGGTGACATTTACATTGCGAGTGACGTTCCTCCTGCTGTGTTTGCAGACGAAGGCTTGTGGGATACCTTTGTGAAGCACTTGTCCCCCAGCAGTACGTCTCACTCAGTCAGCCTGGATCGCCTCAGGCAGGGGGTGAGCTACGAGTTCAGGGTAATCGCAGTCAATCACTATGGCTACGGCGAGCCCAGCATGCCCTCTGCTGCCCTGTCAGGTAATTACAGTCCTTAGAACTCATGTTTATCATCAGAAAGGACAGGATATCAGTCATTGTGCTTTTTTTATTTTTGTATTTTGTTCTTTTCTTTTATCGGAAAAAGTGAATTAATGTTGTCTTAGAGAAGGCTTGCCTGAGAAGTTAAAGCTATTCAAATCAACACGGCGTTAATTATTACACTCGGTGCGTCCGTTGTGGCAAAATTTTTGTAGTAATTGACGGCAACCTTGCTTTGCCTTAATGATTTTACGTTCATTTACAATGCAAATGGAATTAATTCAAAGGGCAAACATACAATACCATTTGCATTTAAAGAAAATTTAAGCTACTAAGTATTTTATTTCTCAAAATCCATTGCTTAATAAGAAAAACATTGATTGCTGTTAGAGGACATTTGAGATGTTTACATTTCTAAAGGGAATATCAGCGTAATTAAACAGTGAGGCAGATTAGAGGGCATAATGAAACAACACACTTAGGACACATTAAAGATTGGAGAACTGACATTAGATTATATTAAAACTCTCATTGAAGTTGTTTTGCTTATTTTTTCTTGTTTTTTCCCCTGTTTGTTTCATCCTTCCTTTCTCTCAGGTACTGCTTTGTGCTGTTTGTGATACTGCTTTAAAACCAGAGAGTACTGTACAGTGCAATCAAGCCAGTTAGCTTTCTTACCTTAATGTTCAGCCAGCTGTGGACAAACTCGGCCTAAACGGCACCTTATTATATTGTTTTATTTCCTGGAAAATTGATCAAAATTTTGATATATTCATGCTTGTAACAGAGATTCTTTGCAGTTATAATGTTTATGTGAGACTCAAAGGGGAGACCCTGCCACTAGTTCAAGTGGAGCTTTTCATTTAAACCAAACGCTAGAACAGTATAAAGGGAACGTGTCTGACGTGAGGCCAGGCTGCTCTCTGATGAGTGTGAGGAATGCAGCTTAACCTCTGGCACCCCCTGCTGGGACAGGGCGTTAGCACATCTTCCCCCAGCGTTCCTCCGCACTAACGTAGCCGTGCATCTGGCCATCTTTGTGCACACACAGCCCAATCGGAGACTCCTTTTTACGACGAGTGGTGGTTCCTCGTCGTCATGGCGCTCTGTGGCCTCATTCTAATTCTGCTGCTGGTGTTCGGCCTGCTGCTCTACGGCCAGAACAGGAAGTACAAGAGCTGCAGTCCTGGTGAGTGGAACCCTGGGTCTGCCGCTGCGGACACTTGACCCGCGTGTGAGCGCTGCTAGAACCGGCGTCGCCTGCCTGCAGAGGAGCACTTCAGGAGCTTATAGTCCACACTACAGACAGGGATCATCTGACCACATAATCCTCCCTCTCACCACACTACCCAGCTAAACACTGCGCCCACAGACACATGATCTTGATAAATAAATAAACAAGTGCAATGGTATTCTGTCATTACGTCCGTCAAGTTCACTTTTGTGATTTAAAACCGGCTTTTTTTGTTCCGACGCAGGAAAACATATCTCCACCGTGGAGGAGGCTGTCACACTTGATAACGGAGGCTTCACCGCTCTCGAGCTGAACAACCGACATCTGAACGCTAAGAGTTCCTTCCTGAAGAAGAATGGGACAAGGTTAGGGATGATTCTAGATTTGAAGCTGAAGAAGTCTTTCGTTAGATCGAGAACTTCAGATATACTGCAGAAAGTTTGTTTCCCGGACACAGATGGTTACGCGCGGACAATTTAGGGCTCTCCAGAGGTTTACAAGATGGCAAATGGCATTACCCGGTCAAAAAGGGAGCTAATAAAATCAGTTTGTGAGCGATGGCCTTTCCAGTAGAGAGGCTGCCCTGAGTGGACGTGGATCAGAAAGGCCTCTGAAGTGATGATTGCAAGTGACGTGAGGTGCTGAGGCAGCAGGTCCTGCTTGAGGGCCACACGGAGCCGGGGCCACGTCCTTCGTGGTGTCTCCTCCTATTGGAGCTCCGTAAATGTGATTACAGGAGCCTGCCCTTGTAACCTGCCCTCGGGGTCTTCTGTAGACCTCATTTTCAATGGTTCCCCTTACCGCCACGAAGTGCAGGTCCATGAATCCACATCTTTTATTAATACTTTACAAAAGTTTTACAGGCTGTGGCTCGTAGCAGACGTTAATGATTGTTCTTCATCCATCCACGTTCTAAATGTAAATATTTAACATGGTGAGTGTTACAGGGCCTCTGGGGTCTATCTCAGGCAGCACAGTGTTGGGGTATGCCCTAGGCTGTGATTATGCTCACCTAAAGCAGTGTTTCCCAACCCGGCCCTCGGGGGCCCCTAGACAGTCCACGTTTTTGCTCCCTCCCAACTCCCAGAGCAAAAACGTGGACCGGCTGTGGGTCCCAGAGGGCCGGGTTGGGAAACGCCGAGCTATGCACGTCTATGACCGATGACTGTCAGCGGCTCTGTGGATCTCCTCATGCATGTCCCCTGGCATCCAGGTCCCCCCCACGGCCCAGCCCCGGAGGCCTGCATTACTCCGATGAGGACTTGTGCAACAACTACAACGGGGCCATCCTGACGGAGAGCACCACCCTCACCGAGAAGCCCGCCGAGGTCTCGGAGTCAGAGGTAGCCTCACACTCCCGCACAGCAGTCTCTCTGCTCACAGCAAGACCCTCCTCAGCATCCCCCACCTACCCTTTCAGCAACATGGTGGTAAATTCCATCTATAAAAGTGGCCTGTAACCACAGGGAGGTGATTGGCTGAAGAACAGCAGCCTCAGACCTGTGAACAGGCACACAGGCAACTGCCAGCATGTCTCCTTATTACTAAATTACACTTGCCTTTCTGGGTTCTGGATCCTTCCAGATTCTGAAACCAAGAGGGAGGAAACATGCATCAATGAATTAGGAATATGTGCCTATGTCCAGAAGGACACTGATTCAAATCCCGAGGCCAGCAGGACAGTAGCATTGCTACTTGGCCCTTGAGCAAGGCCCTTAAGCTTGAGGGATACCAGATAAATGGCTCACCCTATGGTCTGACCCCAGACCTGTATGTGCGCATCGCAGAAGAGCAAGATGGGATATGCGTAAAATCAAATGACAAATGAAAGAAAGTTACTCGCCTCTTTTATTTCAGCGTCTTAGAAGGATTCCTTACTTATTATGCAAACACATTTCGACTCTGGTGGCTGCTTAAGTGAAGCTGCAGCATGCGCTCCTCTCCCTGCACGGGGAGCCAGTCGCTAATCTCCCCTGTTCCCTCTTCCCTCCCGCAAGGCCACGGACAGCGACTACGAGGACGAGCGTCCCAAGCACTCCTTCGTTAACCACTACATGAGTGACCCCACCTACTACAACTCCTGGAAACGGCAGCAGAAGGGGCTGAAGCCAGCACCCGCCTACCCCTACGAGGAGTGCGCCAGCGGGGATGGAGAGTCCTACTACCAGACGGTGGTGACCCAGCACAGCGTGGGGGGGGCCTACACGGCAGCGGGACAGCCCGCCCCCGGCTCTCGGACTCCCGTCACCGGCTTCTCCTCATTCGTGTGACAAAGGACGGGCTCCTTCAGGTGTCCACATACGGCCGTTAGCGGGAGGAGGAAGTCTCCCCTTCCTGTCTGTAATTATCCGTCAGTGCTGACACCTAACAGCTGTGATTTGCAAAGATCGCATCTGGGGAAAAAAAAGATTTACTGTTTGCACAATATTGTAACCCAGTGTACCTCTGCCCTGTGTAAGAGAAGCCCTCCAATCCTGACAGCTCAGCTCTGCTCTGGGGAAATGAAGGAATGTTCCACGTAAACTATTCAATCTGTTCCGTTTGTCCAAAACAGAATAGGAAACTCCTTGTGAAAGACGATTCCTAGCGAGGCTGTTCCGGCATATCAGTTTTGTGGATTCTTCAAACAATACGTACCTTTCGTTTTTCCTTTGCTGCGTAAACATAAGTTTACAGACTGGTTGCAAAAATAGGCTCCTCGAGGTCCCATCTTCCAGGTCTTCATCAGAACAAGCCGGCGAACAGATTCTTTTGGCCGTTTATATGTAGAAAACAATATTGTGATTTATGGATGGTGTGTTAATTCGAAGTATCCTCTGACAATGACATTTACAATCCTGTAATCACATGACTCTCAGTCACATGAATCATTTTACCCACAATTCACTGCTGAAGCTGAAAGCGATATTGCACTTGGTGGGCTGGAGGGGGATTGCGGACATGCCGATGACTGAACTTCACCAAAACTGCATTAAAATAAATATGTACCATGGGGCAGCAGGACATAAGTTCCCGTCATCTACGGTGGGGAGTGGTAGAGCAGATCGAAAGGATGTAAGTGACAACAAGTTAAAGGTGGTTAAAAAAACAACTGTCTGTCCTTGTCCCAAGTTCACCGTCTGTGTTACGTCATACGCAAATGGAAGGTCGGTCGAATGCGACATGTTTTGTGAACTGTTCTGCTTTTCAATTCCCATCAATCTTGACATAAGAGCCCCTACTGGTGTGAAAAGTCATGTTCACTTGAAGATTTGTTGCTCTGATTCCTTTGTACGAATGTAATTTTATTTGTTTAGTTTAAAGTATGATAAAACACCACCTTTGCACACACTGACTGCACTCGTAAGCCATACAGAATTTGCTTTAAAAAGAAGGTGCATTTGCAAGTTTTTTTCTAGTTCTGTTCTTTTTTTACCTTTTACAAGCAAAAACATAAACATTGTTCCTTTGTTGCTTTTTTAGGTTAGCAATATGTACTGTATATGTGTATTTTTAGGATAAATTTTGTACAGATAAAAATTTTTACTGTAGTGTTCTTGCCAAGGTGGTGTAGTTCTGTAGTGATGCATTACACCCATCCATTTTTGCAACGTGATAGTATATGGAAATCAATAAAGAGAATGAGTTTTAAAATAAAAAATATGCCTGGTAAAATGGAAAGGTCTGTGATCCCATGGAGTAATAGCACTGAGAAATTCAATATATTTTTGTCAGCAGATTGAAATCCGAGATAATTCCTAACCGAACGTCCTTTCTTTTACCCACGGCATATAAGCTTACTTTTCACAAACTAAGGCAGTTTTCTCATCGCACCTCCAACTCAAATGAATTGCTCATTGTAGATCCTGGTGGCTCTGTAACCTTATACTGTAAGTACTCCTTATTTCAGATTCTGCTTGTGTTGTTCTGCCAGAGAACAATAAAGGGGGTTTCCTCACCAAGATGACAATGAATCGAGATGCAGTAGCACTTAAACCATCTCTTTTCATGTCCTTCATATTCACAAGACTCTCTTCGCTTCTTTCATTTGCTCTTCTGAATGATACCGCAGAACGCGTGCTGGAAAATGGTGGATGTGTCGCACAAAGACAAAGCATTTCGCGATCACGCGTGAACGGCAGGTGTTGCAGTTACGTTTTCCGTCCTTGTGCCAGGACTCACCGCCGGGCCGGGCCGCCGGGAGCAGTGAAGCTCTCTGGAACGCAGCCTTCAGCTCCTGGAGCTCATGTCGGGACGGTGCAGCTGAGTGTGACGCTGTCCTGAAGCAAAAACTAAGCAGCTACGCAAGCCAAGATTAAGTTATCCAGATGGTGAACCAGCTGTGATGCTTTTACTGCAGATGGAATTTAAGGAACTCTCTTCTATATTGTAAACACATAGAAGTAACCTGGAGATATCTCTTTTACATTATATGAACATTAGTACATAGGGTACACATTACTCAAAATTCTTAATATATAGGTGGGTAATTAATTATACTCTGTTAATGAATACTTTTATGCAGAGGAAATTAATACTCTTTTCACATAATTCTTTGATTTTCTTGAAATAAAATGGCACTGTGAAGCTTTGTGATGCTGTGCAGAGTAAGACTTCTTGTCGTTGGGTACTGCCGTGCTTTTCATGCCTTCCGTCGTCAGGATTTCCAGCGGCGTCGGCAAACCCTCACGGTCTCCTCCTGAATGGCTTGCTAATCCTCTGAGAATGGGAGGCGAGTTGAAGCTACTTCCAGGTGGCTGAGCCTGGTCACGTCTGACCGCGGCTCAGCTCTGCTCCATGCCGGAAGCGGTGAAGCTTCACCGCGGGGAGGAGGCTTTAAGCTGGTTACCAGCTCAGCAGGCCGCTGACCAGCAGCAGCAGGACCTGTGCCGCTCTCTAATTCCATGTTATCCCTCCACAGTGTGAAAGAGAGCCAGAGTCTTGGTAGGAAAGGCTTCCAGAGTAGGACTGGGGTTTAATGCTGGATGAATGAAGTCTTTCTTTAGTATGAAATTGAGAAACTTGATTCATCTCTCTGCCAGTTCTTAAAAACTTGTAGCCATGGTTGTGTGTTGTGACTTTTTCAAGGCCTCGCCGCTACATTACGTTTCCTGTGTGTAATATATTGAGTACATATTTCAAACTATGTTACATTTTTTATTGGTTTTACATTACATTACTGTTTTATTCATATTTGAGCTTCTCATTTTGCTTGAAGCTTATTTGATGATTTAATGATTCGTAGGCCTCCCTCTAAACAATTATCCTCAAATCAGTTGCATGTTCAATTCTCTACATTTCTATTCAGAATCACATGACTGTTTTTAATGTGGTGTTTCCCAGTCCGGTCCTCGAGGAGATCCACAGACAATCCACATTTTTGCTCCCTCCCAACTCCATGCTAGACAGTCCACATTTTTGCTCCCTCCCAGCTCCTAGTAAAAAATAAAAAAGGACCATATTGTGAAACACTGCTTTAATGTTACACAATGTCTGTAATTCTGTTCATGACCTGTCCTAATAATCATGATTTACTACTGAAAAAATAATGCTTTGGTTCTGTTTATTTTCACATTATGAATGGTTATACTTGTTCTTTTAGTTTTACTCCTCTGTATAATTGGTACTTATCTCCCCTGTGTGTAGCCTCAACAGAGGTGTTGGCAGTGACAAGAGAGTAATAATGTTCACTCAGTCTGTGCTGCTGTCCCCACCTTGACAGTGCAAAAAAAATAAAACATTCACTGTATGTACAAAGGTCAAGTACTGAAAATACAGTATAAACAGATATGCGGATTTGACTTGGATGGTTTCAGTGATTCGTGAGTTAGCTATGAACAAATAATTGGCATATTTTTGGATGATGCGTAGGCCAAAAATATATAAATGATACTGAGAATTATTTGGATCACATAAAATCATATGTAAATATTAGTGTTTTTAGAATATTTTTTAGTGAATGTCCATACTACATCTTTAATAATAAAAGTTATTTTTGGTTTAAAAACAAAACACAAAGAACGGTGGGATTTGTGTATCCTGGCTTGGAGACGCCTCACACCTTTGTCTCAGTGACCAGCCTCACTCACGTGTCAGCTGTCTCTGTGACTTTGGAATCTTGCATTTCTCACAGTAACTTTTAAACTTTGCAGTGCTGTTAATTTTACTCTTTTACTAATGGATACGAGTATTATTCTCAAATATTCACATTTACGTGGATCTTCCACCCCCTAACCTTCACGAATGTGAAGGAGTGACTATACCTCTCATTTATTGTCACTGATATGTGACTTTGTTGTGCCTAACTAGGCTCTGTGATTTAATTCACCTGCTACAGTACCTATTTTTTTTCCATTATCAACTTACTGGGTTCAGTTATTTACAAAGACCTATCTTTCAGACAAAAGAGGTACAGTAAAAAAATGTAGTTTCGGAAAAAACTCACTCCAAGATTTTTGAAACCCACTAAAAGCTTTCTCATCTTATGGCAAACATATTTCAACTTTCATCTAGTTCGTGCTTAGTTACCATGCCCATACTTTTGCTGTAGTGCCTCTATCTTTTCTCAGCCTTATCACTTAACTCTGCACATGGTGAACTTTGACATCGCACACAAAATGATTATAAAGTACCAAAATTAATGATGTTATTTTTTAAATTATTTTTAAATTAATGGATGCGTCCTCCATAGCCCCTCTCTTTTGGGAAGGAACCCACAGGACAGAAGGTGGGGGACACTGCAGAAGGGATGCCAGTTAATTACAGGACACACTAACATAGTCACACCCTAAGGGTAATTTTGCGACTGGGCCAGCAAAGTGACATATCTTTGGACTTTGGGATGAACCAGAACACCTGGAGGAATTCCACACCGACACGAGGAGGACAGGCTCACTGCACATCCTGGTCTGGGGAAACACTGGAGCCCACAACCATGACGAGTAAAGTCCCCTGGTAACTGTCCAGTATGGCTAACAGCTGACAAGTGACATTCAGTTTGTTTAAACTGAGGCGGTCTTAGATAGTAACATATTACAAAATCAACATGGAACTTAACTTCCAGGGTGGCCAGTGACACAGTGATCAGCACTGCTAGCTCGCATCTCTAGGACCAAGGTTCGAACCTCCACCATGGCTCTATGTGTGTGGACTTTGCATGGTCTCCTGTCATCATGGGGTTTCCTCTGGGAACTCCAGTTTCCCCCCACAGTCCAAAAACAAGCTGAGGTTAATTGGAGTGTGTGTGTGTGTGTGTGTGTGTGTGTGTACGTGCGTGTGCCCTGCAATGGATTGGTGCCCCATACTGGGTCGTTCCCTGTGTTGTAGCCTCTGGACCCCCTGCAACCCTGAATAGGATTAGCAGTTACAGAAAATGGATGGATAGGACTTATTTCCCACAAAAAGATAAGCCGATTGTTGTTGTGTTTATTAATGTTAATTGATGCTACATAGGCTGTAGCCCATTCTTGTGCCCTATGATGCCTGGGCTGGGCTCCTGCTGCCCCACACCCCAGACCAGGATAAGCCGTAAGGTGGATGGATGGATGGATTTACTACATTTAATCTTTGATACATAACAATAATGAAATATTTAGATTGTTCTGGTTATCGGTGTAACTGTTTCCCAACCCAGTCCTTAGGAACCCACAGACGGTCCACTTTCCTCCCTCCCAAAACATGGACTGTTTGGGGGCCAGGTTAGGAAACACTGATCTATATGTTGGCATTTTCATTAGAAAACCTAATATTTTGGTTTAGATATAGAGAAATAAAACTTTTTGGATTTTAAAACCTATGGCTTTAATTTATAAACAAATCAAAGATTTTTTTTTCTTTCAACAAATTCAGCAAATCACATTGGATTCTGGGACAGTATAATACATTAATAATAGACATTCTGCCATTTAATTTGTTATTTGTTTGAAGATAGCTTAATGATGTCATTTCCTGTCAAATAATATAACTAAATAGTCGTCTATGACCACTAGAGCAGATTGTTAGCAGAATGTTGTGATTTAAAAACTCAGCTGTGGAGGATATGATTGCAGCATGTTTGCTCTATGTCTAGTTTATTACTTTGCTTTATATTGCTATTATTGGTCCTTTCTGTTCTTATCTAACTGAGCACCACCATCCTTCAGGGTTTGGCTGTCAGCTACGCGCTGTTTGTCCCTTGCAGGCCTCCATACCCCGGGCAGGATATCACTCCTTGTCAGCCTCAGGTACCCAGTCGCCCCATTTTGCTGCTGGTTGCCCGGGTGACATGCATCAGTCTTAACAGCCAGATCATGATCTGCTTAATTTCCTGGGAAACCAGGTCAATCTGTCGTATATTATTTTATGGCCAGACCTTGTGCTATTCCCTGCCAAGTGAAAAATTAAGAAAATGGATTATATAGCAAAAGTAATAAAGAATAAAATGTATGCTTGATTGTATTAATCTGACAGTTAACAAGGTACTAAACTGATTAATATCTGTGAATTAATCTTCTTCTCCAGTATGGAGAGATATGTATTCTTTGAAAGTATGAACCACTGCAGTTAAACTGAGAATATTGGGGGGGAGGATGCAATTTTGATTACAGAGGTGGAGCCCAGTGCTAATGATTTACACTTTTTAAAACAAAGACACAGAATTGGAAACAGGTAGCTGTCTACTTAAGTAATCTCTGAATCTCTGAAAGAAGTGAAGTTTCAGAAATACTACAGCACTACTGTGAAATGTTATTAAGGTGAGGTCAGGTTCTTTCTTACACTAAACTGTGAGTATGCTTGTTTAGATTTTAATATCTCAGCTTGTAGTGACTGTTGTCAGACGTGATTTTCGACAGGTGCAGGACAAACAGCTACATCTTTAACCCACAACTGAGTTTTAAGAGTGGTGAGTTTGAAAAAGTCATTTGGCTCTTGTGGTAGCTGATATCACCTTGACCTTGGACCAGCATATGTTGTGCGAAGGTTTCTCTAATTGGTACAACTTGCTGACCAGGGTGGAGTGGTGGGGTGCAGACAGTAAAGGGTCCTTGCCAATGGGGGTGCAGGGGAGGGGTAGATAAAACTTATCAACTGGGGGGGGGGGTTGGGAGGGGGTTTCTCAAATGCGATCAGAGAGCATAAATGTCATGAAGGTGTGGCCTGAAAATATGTAGTTTATTTCTGGAAAATAACACCTTCCTCCCCCAACTCCCCAGCATTCCACAGGCTGGTGGGATACTGGCCATGAATCAGGGGTTTTGAACCCCTATTGTACTGGATAAGCCATTGGAAGACTGGTGGATGGAAATTAAAGGCCTTTCCTTTTCCCATTCTGTAAGTGTTTCTCTGTTCTGAGGAAATCCATCAAACATTTAGATGGCAAAGCACGCCATCTGTACAAATTCCGTCGTGGCCCTGAACTGCCCAGTTCCACATCCCATTTAAGAGTCTCTGGGATTATTTGACCTGTCCGTGACCTTTGTTTAACCCAATGGGAGCCAGCAAAGTAACCAGTAGGTTAAACCAGTCCGTGATGCATAATGCATAATTGTCTAATCCACAAGAGTCCAGCCCTTGGAAAATTTCCAGGTCTCATTAAAAAAACAGCAAAGTGGGAGATTCCTCT